GCGTGAGAGTGAATGGCAATCACATAGAGCACCTCCTCTAATACTGAATCAGCATTAAAATTTTTTGTTTTTTGTAAAAAAAGAGTTTTTATTTTGTTATCATACATTCAGTTTCTTTACTTCGTTTTTTTATGGAAGATAAATGATTACATTTTATATTAAAATAAAAATTGTTTCTTTATCTCTCTTTGTTAATTTTTTATTTTTTAAGGCATCTAGAAAAAAGATATCCCCATTGTACCCCACTCTTCCCTACTCCTTTGTTCATTCTAAAGATAACACGACTAATAAGAAAATGACAAAGAGCTCAAATAACAAAATAGCTTGTATTTTAGAAGATATTAGTCTTAAGATCCATGTTAATTAGACCTTTTCTTCTTGTTTTGATCAATACTACCCACTATCAAAATATGTGACCCTTTTTTTTTCAACACCCTGTATATATATATTCAGAATTAATGATGAATAATTGCTCAATTTTTGTAAGATATATTCTACATCTTGACGTATGAAAATTTCTTTTTACATTTGAAATCTATCGTGTGTATCTAGAGAGGTTTAAAGTTTTATCATAAAATATACAAATAAACAACGGCGCGGCCACATTTGTTGTTTTTGGAAATTCTTCCAAAATATATGGATTTATAGGTATAAGTACTTATCGATAACATTTTTATTTATTTAATTCATTTCCAAACAGATCAAATTTATATATCTTAACAACATATATGTATATTCAGAATTAATGATAAATAATTATTCAATTTTTGTAAGATATATTCTGCATCTTGACGTATGAAATTTTTTTTTTACATTTGAAATCTATCGTGTGTATCTAGAGAGGTTTAAAGTTTTATCATAAAATATACAAATAAACAACAGCGCGGCCACATTTGTTGTTTTTGGAAATTCTTCCAAAATATATGGATTTATAAGTATAAGTACTTATCGATATTGTTATGACGAGACACAAAATCGGTGTATTTTTATTATTAAATTTTAAAGACATTAAAAAAGAAATTACAGCTTATTTTTTTCGTATAAATGTGTGTCTATGTGCAATCGGATACACTAATGGTATTTGATGGATTACATTTAATAAAGTCATTAGTCAAGTTTTTTTAAGTATTTAAATAATGAGTCTTATTACTTACATAGTCGACAATATAATATCTTTATTATATGAAAGATTCAATAATCCGCATGTCACGAACTTTCTTATGAAGCACCAGATAGAATTTTAATGTATCCGATTATACATATTGTATATCTCCCTATTTATACGGCAGAAATAAAGACATACATGTACTACTCTGATTTTACCTATATGTAGTACGAATTTAAGATACACATGTGCCTTTTATAAAAATAACACGATTTATATACGACCAATATTTTATATTATTAAAAGAATATCTTCTTAACGCGATTAATGATCGAAAAATCGTTTGTACTGTAATAAATTTATAGCACAATATGTGCTTGGATATATTCTATAGTATGTTCTTTTTAACGAAAAAATAAAAATGTCAATTTACATCTTTGCAGGAGGATTTTGCTCCGCTAAGGGTTGAATGCTATTGACGTTATTATGTGATCGCCCTCCTCTTCGACCTCTACCTTTCTTCTGATTTAACCCGAATTTTTGTGGTACGTTTTCCTGCTTGGCCGTTTGTGTTTCGATCATTGAGTCAGCTTCTGTTACTTCCGATACCTAATGCCATAAAATTACATCTATATATCCTTGTTTTTAACAATATAGCTAGTTTACTCATTTATACGTATTACAAAAATAAGTAAAAATTAGAAAGGACGATCACATCAATTGGTACTGAGTAACGCGCGAATCATACCTGCACATTTGACGTGTTCTGTCGTCCTTGCGATGTTTTATTCGGCTTATTAATCCTAGATGTCTGTACAGTTGTGCCACTCGAATGCGGTATAAGTTTCAATACGTTTCCCACTGCTTTAGTACGACCCTCTCTGAACACCATTCTTTGTCCAGGTTTTATGTATTCTGGATGTTTGATAAATCTAAAATGTACTAAAGCTTTGTCGCCCGTTCTCAAGCAATCTTGAGACATGGATAATATAGAGGCAGTTTGCCTTATGCTGCCGCAATGTACTGCAATAATTTTAGAGCAGTGATTACACATTGTAATAATATATAAGATCATTAAAAAAGATCATTAAAAAAAAAAAAAACAACTACCCATCGCCTGATAACGCGAGCTGATCGTGGTGGGATGATGTAACACCAAAATTTCACCCTCAAATTCCCAACAGGCTTGCGGGTTGAGCACAGGCGCGACCATCACCATACCTTTGCGAATGTGCGATCGTTTGATCTTTTTCAAGGCAAAACTAGCAGTTTGACCGCCCCTCACTTCACGAACCGGCATTCTCTTTCGATGGATGCTTTTCACGGCTATCGGTGTGAAACGACCTAACGGATCAGGCCCTAACAGTAAGGTATCATTTAACTTTATGATACCTTTCAAAGTTGTGCCAGATACCACTGTACCAACGCCCTGCCAAATTTTAATTTTCAATTTTTATCGCGTATATTAACAACATAAAAATTATTCTAATGATGCGTAATGTAACACGCACCGGTACGGAATATGTGTCGTCGATTTGAAACTCTGCAGGTTCATCGTCGTGACTAGTAATCCTTGCCGTTAGTAAGTTGAGAAACATCTTAAGAAGATTTAGATTTTCGCCAGATACGTTAGATACTTGGAAAATTGGACACAACCTGTGTAAACGATGTATATTATAATATATTGTATATTATAATGTATTGCCCCAGTATCACGTTTTATTACATATATATAAGTCGCAATATATATACCGTTCTGACACAAAATTAGTAGCGCTGACTACTACGTCATCAGGTGTCTTCACTGTAACTGGAACTTTTCTGCAACCAGGCGACTTCAGAATCCTTATTAATAGCTTTAAGTTTTCTTGTAGGACATTCGGTGGACACATATCGATTTTCGTTACAACAACGAATACCGGTACGGACAGTGCTAAAGCGAGGCCCAAATGTTCCTTGGTCATTCCCACAATACCAGCATTTGCTCCAATCATTAACATGCCTGAAATAATACTTGTATTAAAATTGATAATATATTCGTACAAACTTCATTAAACTGTATATTGATAAATGAAAGAATGACGAAATGTCAAAGATATAAAGAAATTATTCTTGTTAAATTCTTTCTTTTGGATGTTACAATTGTAATAACAATAAAAAGAGATTTTGCTTAACCGTAATGTTTTACCAAAATCTGGAGCATGTCCTGTCATTCCAAAGACAGTTGTCTTCAGATATCTCTCATGACCAGCAAGATCAATAAACGTAATTACTTTGGAGGATTTTTCACATATTTTTACCCAATCTAGCGACCCATGTTCGGGTTTATTAACTACGTTACCTGCAAATATATGACAGTAGATGAATAACAATGTCAACTAAAAATCTCAACTAAAATTTATAGGATAATTACAACCAAAAGTTAATGCTCACCGACGCTATCGAATCCAAGTATGTCATTGCCAACAGAGCTAGTCCGTCCAGTTTCAGCTTCATGTTTGTGACGAAATAACTTTTGACGTGCCAGACCTCTTCCATTGTCAAGCTCGCCATGAGTGAGTACTCCTAATAATGTAGATTTACCAGCATCTACATTTCCAACAACAGCAACTCTACAAAGAGTTATTTACTTTTTCATACATAATATATTTATTTCTCAAATAATTAATTGCTTTGTTGATTTTAAATTACTGGTTTACTTTAAAAAGGTCATATTATTTAATAAAAACCTTATTTCCAGGAAATCTTGTCGATCTAGTCGCCTTCTTACTAGATATTGTCCTGTTAAACCATGGTCAACTTTACTTTGGCGTAGAAGTACACAATCAGCCTCCAATGTCGCAGCAAGGGATTGTAAAGTGGCAACTGATGCGTCATATTCATCCTCCTTTAATCCATCTTCAGATCCATCTGAAAATATTATATAAGAATTTAATAAGTCCTCTTAAATAATTTTCAATTGATACAACACATCATACTATAACATGTTTTTTAATCATCCAATTAAGATTGATACTTGCCTTCAGCAATACCAATGTCAAAAATGGTCTCGCTGCCTCCATCCTGAATCCTTTCTTTTAGCTTTCTCAACAACAGTTCATATTGATCCTCAGATGGACTAACTAAGACATTCTAAAATTTATATAAATTGTATTATTATAAAATACTATTAAACAGTTAAAAGAAAAATATAACTTTGGTATAACATCCTAAACATACCTTGCCTCTGATGCTAGAATAGTCTACAGAAGCAGGTCCATGCTCTTTCTCTGGTAGATGAGTTATGGTTTGTGATGCAATAGGCCCTGACATTGTATCCACTGGTGATGCAAAAGTTGCTCCAAAAATTTAATAGTTTTCTTAATTTAATTTTTTATAACAGGTCATCTGGTTATTTATCCCTCTTGTGTAAGATTACTTATTAGACATCTTCCATTACTTAAATCCAGATCCTTCCATATTAATAGTTTCTCCAAATATCTGTTTAGTATTTGCGCATACATAATTAGGGATACTTGGAATTTTATTTGTAGCTGAGTAACTATATATTACTCAGAAGCACATCCAAATATCATTTTTATAATCTGCAACAATACAAGATAGATAAAACTTGTTCTCAAGTTTTGTTTGCAATCATTAAAAGACTATATTTTTTCAAAGAACTTTCTGAATTAGTGTACACTGGTATGATAAGTTAGAATAAAATAAGTATATTTTGTTTCATTCTAATTTGGACCAATATACATTTGTTCAAGTTCTTCAAAAGAGGAACAAAGTAATCTCAAGTAATACATGTTGCATCAGTTTGACACTTATATTCAGCTCAATTGTTGCCGCTTCATCCAATGCAATCTGTTTTGTTAATCGCACAATCTTTATTATTTTATTTTTTTTAGAAATTATAACATGATATAAAAGATACGAGAAAGATAACATACTATCTATCTTGAGAACATAAGAATAAATACATACAAGTATATATATATATATATATATATATGTATACACAGATATATTAATTATCACCTTGTATTCTCACATGTCACAGTCAAACACATTTGTCGTCACATTATGATTCTGCCAAGCAAAAAGGTTGTGTAACTTTGGAAGAATGTCAACCAATGTATAGTCTCAGAAAAAATATACGTAAATATAGAAAGTCAAAAGATCTAAAACAAAACGCGACCTACAAGTTCGAAAAAAATATATATGTTATTCTTTTCTCTCTTTTACGACGTAGAAATTCATCTGGCGGACATTTTGCCGCATTTTACGTGCACATACAATCGGGAGTGAATTCCTTTCGTAGCGATGGGACGTGAACGGTATAAATTTGACATAACATATTGCAGAAGTAGCCGTGAATGTGCAAATCTTCACGATCTGTTGCTCTCGAAAACGTCAGAGTATAAAAAAATGTTTTACCTGTGTAAAAAAAAGACGAAACCGTGATCGGACCTGCGCGCTTTTGCAATTTCAAGTACGTGTATGTTAAATATTCCGTTGTCGCTATTCGTGAAGTGCATCAGACGCCGATACGTCAAACTGCGCCATGTGACGCAACTACTAGGAGCATATCGGACTACACTTTGCTTTACATCAATGCGATCCACAATTGTATTCTAAAACCTTAAGCCTGTGTCACACTATAGATTGGAGGTGAAGAATTGCGGATTGAAAATTAGATTTCGACGAATCAATGGCCGCGTTCAGTAGAACAAGTGATCAGTAAGCGCTCAGGGAGCTCTTGTATATGATTTGGCATATTCTTTTAGATCTCCAACTATACTCCAATCAGATGCAAGAGCTCACTGAGCGCTTACTGATCACTTGCTCTACTGAACGCGGCCAATGAAGTTTGTCTTGGCTTGCTTTGTTCTAATTGGTCAAGTTCCAATCTTCAATTCGCAATCCTTTATCTCCAATCCGTAATGTGACACGATTAATTCTACGGAATTTAGATTAGTGAGGGACAGAGCAACGCTGATGACGTTCGATCAATCAAGGAGAATTTAGGCAAGGCTGCGTTCCGAAATTCAATACCACCCTAATAGCACGCAATGTTCAGGGAACGTCCAGTGGATATCCATAGAACATAAAATGTCCTCTGAATGTTTTCTAGATGTTCTCTGGACGTCTTTTGAACATGCGTGCTATTAGGGCAGTACTGAAAATCTATAGTTTATGGCCGGTATTCATAATCGAATCTTATTTCAAGACCATCTTAAGTAATGTCTTAAGATGCGAATACGGTTCTGTGATTGGTTCATGACATCTTAAGTACTGTCTTAAGATGTCATGAACCAATCACAGAGTCGTATTCGCATCTTAAGACATTACTTAAGACGGTCTTGAAATAAGATTCGACTATGGCCGGTATTCATAGTTAGATTTTATATTTAAGACCGTTTTAAGATTATCTTCAGATGATGAACGGATCATTTTATTGGCTACGGAGTATCTGAAGATGAACTTAAGAGAGTCTTAAAAATAAGACCCGACTATGAATACCGGCCATTGATTCCTTCTCACTGCACTCCCTGCACTAATTTGTACTAGTCTTCTTTTCTTTTTTTACAAGTTTCAACTGTAAACTTGTTTCTTTTTAAATTCCGTAGTGTGCACTAAATTAGCGAAAAGGAACAGACCTAATAGGGAGTTTTTGCAAACACGGTATAGATACAGTAAACGCTAAAATAACGTCATCGAGTCAAGAGACTAAACTGTGCATGCGCATCGGTCACCTTAACGTTATTCAGATAACGTGCGAACGTTATTTCTGAAAATAGCGTTTACGAGTAACGTCGATGTTATGGCTACCAAAATGAAATCTGAACGATTGAGATTTACAAGTCAAGATGATCTTAAACTTTTAAGGGAGATTATATCCCAAAATCCATATGAAGAGGATGAAAAATGAAAAACGATTGCAGATCGTGTAGGATACTGTTTTATCGTACGTTACCGTAGCATTACCGTACAAAAACTCTTTTGAAGTAGGCGACGTAAAAACGGAATACGGTACGGTGAAGTTACGTGACTTCAGCGTTTACCGTATCTAAAATACGGAATTGTAAAAACTGCCTGTTATTAGGTTGGATTAGGTCGCGTTGCGGGTGCTCCGTTTTGTCATCTCGTCCATTCGAAATATCGCCGTCGCTATGGTAGGTCGATGATCGTGATTGGAGCATGCGCTGGTACGCGCCCGTTAGCCATTCCGAGTCCCTTCTCTCGATCTCAGATAATCGTCATTCGCGATTAGTTGTGGCGTTCGGCAGTGGCGGTGTGCTGCACCTTCCTTTCGGCCTCCCCAAGTCTAGGCCATCACGCGCGCGTGTGTTTTGTGTGTGATATATACATGTATATGTCATATGAGCGTATTAATATACCACGCGTGGAACGGCTGGCACTTGGTCGCATACGAGCTGCGGTGCCTCAACACGTCCCTTTCGCCTGTCGGCTCAGCACGGATTGATCGATCGTGAGGCCCCGTCGTGTTCCTGAGGACCTACCTTGGCGCTCTTTTTCTACGAATGCACTTTTGTACGCACGATGTCACCCGTTTCGTTCTTCTCCTGATACCGAGCGAGCATCTCTATAATGGGATTCTCAACGTTCTAATAAGCGAGGTATGTAGGAAGGGTGAACAAGACATTTCTCTCTCTCTCTTCGTGAAGGAAACGCGTATGTGTAGCGGCGCTATCGTGAAATCGTGACGATCGATCGCGGTGAATTAGCCTCTCCGAACCTATTGTTACGCGCAGTTTTCTCAGCCCCGTATGCCGCTATTACGAGACGCGTGCGTGCTGTTACGTTCGATCGAACGTGAGGAAGGAAAAAAGATCGGTGAAAGAGAGAAAGAGAAAGGGTACGAGTGAGAAATAAAATGTACGCTAAAGTGTATGTGTGTGTGTTTCTTCGTGGCAGGCATGTCGACGATGTAATGGCGTCAGACGACTGTCTTCGACTGGAGATAAGTGTGTTCCGCCGCTTTCCCAGTTATTTCAACGGAATATCCTGACGATACACGTGACTGTGCACTGATAGTTTACAGTTCCGTATGATCTCGCTCCGTCGAAACGGCATGCACGCGCGTATCGCGCAATCTTCTTTTTTACAGATACTCGTATCGATCAATCTGAGTCCGATATTTTTAAGTATGGTTCAGTATATTTCGCACATTTTTTGCGATTAAACCCATCGCTGGCCAATATAGGTGGAAAGAGACATATAACTTCTCACCTATTTTTACAAGATTCGCTTGACACTGTAAATATGTGGATGTAACATATTTATTTAATTTTAACTTTATAGTGATGGATAAATGTTTGGTGGAATTAATCCATGAGTTTTATATAATAGAATCAAAATGTAACATTCTATATGACGAACTCAATTAAATTTAAAAATTAAAATATCTTTATAATACTCATAATACTAAAGTAACATCTGTTTTGTAAAATTATTCTTACAATTATTTATTAAATTATTAAAAGCATTTTTTTAAAGATATTCTAAAGCAGAATAAAAATGTCAGTTGATTTGCTTCATAAAAATCATTTGACCTGCATGATTCTAAAAAATATATATAATTATGCTTCATACTATTTGTGTTATACTTGTTTGTTCCAGATGAATCAATGAGATCAGTGAGGTATCTGCTGATATCAGTCCACATTATTGTCATTGGCATAAATATCGACGCTGTAACATTAATGAATAGAAGATTTCGTGCTCGATAAAGGGGCTTCTTCTACAGTTCAGTATTCAGCTGTGAATCGACGGTAGTGAGATGGCAGATGAATGCGGCGAGGTCAAGTCGGTAGGGCTGTCCTCTCCAAGAAGTCCTCAGAGCAACAGCACCGGTGGAAAAGTTGCTGGTAGTCCACATTCACCTAGACAACCAAGACGTGTGAAGCTAAATCAGCAACAATTGGACAGCTTGACAAAGGATGAGCTGGCAGCCAAATGGCATGAACAGGACGTGTATGTGGAGTGTCTAGAAGCCCAGGCGGCAGCTCAGGAAGGTACTGAGATCACACGAGTGAGACCATCTCACTCACCACATATCTTAAGCGAATTAACGAATGCCAGAACACAACGGTCTCTTATAGGAGACAAGACTTTCATAGGGACACTAAGCATAGGTTTCATTAGATCAGTGTTTAGGACGATGTCATATTGTCTATTAGAATTAAGTCTCTAAGGGAGCTTTAGTAAATAAGTACCTCATTATAGGTGGTATAAATTACGGGACGATTTTTTATTATTCTATGAGAAAATTTATAGTATACTTGCAATTCGATTATCTTAATGTACCTGCAAATGGAATGGCTACATTAATGGTGTCTGTATATTTGCAAGCAGCCAGATGTATGGAGAGAAATGCTCTAGATACACTGCATGTAAATGAATGACACCATTAATGCAACTGTCTCTCTCTGTACTACAGAGATTGATATGAGAATGAGATAATACTATACTTCATATGTCACATACATATAGTGTGACGAGAATTAATTTTTATATTTCTGAAATTACATTTGTGATTTGTGTAGTGTGGGTAATTAAATGAAAAATTCGTATGTATAGTGTCGGAAAGCGATATTTCTCTGCTAGCATTTCTGAGAATGGATGGTGTACAGCCATATAATGCGGCTACAGCCATATAAATGTACAAAAAGTTGAAATACGATAATATATATGACAAATATATATCTAGTTCGTTAAATTTTCTTGTGAGCAGTTGTATATCGTCAACCATAAAAAGTTGAGCGAGCAAAAGTGAAAATGGCTGAGATAACAAGTGTCGATGTGTGTCAAGAAACATCAATGGGGGTTTTCTACAAAAAAAAAAGAATGTGCCGACAATAATCGTCCGTTGTGGAAGACACAACCGTTTTTGTTCAAAATATCATTTTTCACAAGTGTGTCTGTGCAGTGTTATCGCGTATATACCACCGCGGTGTAATAATTGTATCGTCAAAATGCGGGACAGTGTGTGCGTGGGTGTAATTCGCATACCGAGTTTCTAGTTAACGAGGATGAGATGAAAAGCAGCGTTTACGATGGCGCTGAATTTACGACACAGGGGAATAGTAAGAGAGTGGATCCGTATCACCCTTTGGCCTACAAAATACTGCGCCTGGGGTGCGTGAATTTGAATCTCGGTGAAGTACAACCATTCGCCAAGTACCAACTGGAATACTGCATTTGTCTAATCCCACCATCTGTCCTCACGATTTGCGTATCCTTACGTACTTTCATCTAGCCCTCAAAACCTTCCCAATTAGGTAACGCAACTTTCAATTATATTCCGAGACCAATTCTTATCCTTCTATACATTCTCATTATGAATGCAACTCGTGCATGCATTTATACCTGCACCATAATGTCCGGATACGAATTTCAAAAGTATAAAACCTGTGAATTAAGCCTGGCCAACGTCTTGTTACAACATCTGTACCTGCAACAAGTACATGCTCGATTGTCGTGGAAGAAAAGTAACATCCACTCTTGGTCTTGGTGGAAGTACAGAGAATCTCGCAAATGGCACGACGCGACGACTCCAAAAATCAAAGTATGCGCCAAATTAACAAAATGTCAGTTGTCAGGCAGTTATTGTCACATACTTATAAAAGTTTATACTTTATTTATGCGCACTCTTAGGATAAAATTATAAATAGTAATTTTTCACCAATATGCTTGGTTCCACCAAAAACCATTAACACATACATGAAAGATATACAGAATATTCTATATGCTTAATTACATTTTATATTTACAGTTTGAAGTTTCAAGCATTCTATGTGGTTCGTAAATTTGTATTGTTAACTGTAGAAGTTTCTCAAAAGATATACAAAATTATTGCAGATTTATTGTAATCTTCAAGTTTTATGCAAAGGAAACTTTTAACATTGTAATTACATAATAATATTAATTATTATATATGATAAATAATCCTACTGTACCTAACTTATATATTACAGAAAAAGTGTTTCAAGAGAGATATATTGTTAACATACACACACACATACACACACATATATAATATTATATGTAAAAAATATGTGTGTGTGTGTGTATATATGTATAAGCGTGTATGTATGTGCATACACACACACACACATGCCTTTGCAATTGGAGCATTGCAATTTTAAGAAACACATAGATGCCACTGAGCATTGAGATTTTAGAAATAGAAAAATTTACAGGCTATTCTTTTATAGGTGAGCTAACTTCATTGAGAGAATCCGAAAACAAGTACAGACAACAATATGTAGAAGCAACACACAGGGAGAAGATCTTAGTAAGGAGGCTTGCCTCCAAAGAGCAGGAATTGCAAGAATACATTGTATGTAGACATTTTCTAGATTTATCGAAGTTCTAGCACAATTTGTCTTTCCTTATAATCCTATGTGAATAAAGAAGGGAAAAGAGAAAACAATATTATCTTTTTTCTGTTAGAATCAAATAACTGAAATGAAAGCCACCCACGCTCCGTCCGCAGCTGCACTAAGATCTACCCTATTAGATCCAGCTGTTAATATATTAATACAGAAATTAAGGCAAGAGTTGATAACGACCAAGGGGAAGCTAGAAGATACGCAGAATGAACTCAGTGCATGGAAATTCACCCCGGACAGGTCAGAGAAATTCTAACGCGTGTATTAAATAAGAGACATCGTGCAGTATTGTTTGAACTAATTATATATGTATTTGTAGCAATACTGGTAAGAGATTAATGGCGAAATGCAGACTATTGTACCAGGAAAACGAAGAACTTGGTCGTATGATCGCCAGTGGACGTATTGCTAAGTTGGAAGGTGAACTTGCCCTACAGAAGAGTTTTAGCGAGGAAGTAAAGAAGTCCCAATCAGGTATGTCATGAAATTATTCGACTTACCAAAATTACACAAGTAATTGTTGCAAGTACGGTGTGGATTTTACGTTTAAAACGACTTACACGTAAATTACTTAAAATCATTTTTTACATCTTCCTTGTGGTTTTCGCAGAATTAGATGAGTTTCTACAAGATTTAGACGAAGACGTGGAGGGTATGCAGAGCACCATTTATTTCTTACAACAAGAACTGCGTAAAGCTCGAGAGTCTGTCACGCTGCTGCAGCAGGAGAATGCAGCATTGAAGACAAATATAAACGAGAATAACTTGTCGAATGGTTTGTCGCCCCATACTCCGCCGATCAAGAAAGAGGAACCGGAAGAAGTCGCTATGCCAGATACAAAACCTCCGAAACCGACCGAGGACAGTGATATGTGCAAAGGTGTAAGGACTCCACCGTTAACGTTGCAACGGTCACCTCAGAGTGAGCTCACGAGTGTCGAAAGAACAGAACGTGCGGAGAGAAAACTCAACCAAGCCGATCACAATGATGAAAGTTCTAGCGATTCGGCGGCATTAATTATTAAGGTCGAGAATGAAGAACTTAGTGATAGAGAGGAGGAACACGAGGAGAACCGTAATAAAAGAATGTTAAGGAGTAAGAATCACAATAAAAATAGTGGTAAATCTAACGGGGAAGAGGTTCTAACACGAACGACGCGGGGAAGGGACAGGACAAAGAGGGAAAAGAGTGCTCCCAGTAGTGATGATGAAAGGACGCACAAGAAGAAGCGAAGGGAAAGTATTCTTTCCCTCGATTATAATGAAGCCGATGACGATGCGTTAGTTTTAACTAATGGCGAGACTCTACAGAGTGATCCGGAATGAATGATACTTTAGGTTGATTTTATATAACATTTATCATGTATATTGTTGAGACAACCGATACAATTTGACGTGGTTCTCCGATAATTGTGTACAAAATTTTTCATCTGAAACAAATGCCGTTTTGGATCTTTGAAAAATCGTTTGAATAAATGGATAATTGAAGTAATTAGTCACAAAGAGACATAATTTCCGTACTTGTACAGGTGATGAATTTGAAAAGCAAATATCGGCATTGTGGTCTCAAAAATGAACTTGTAAATACTTGTATCATTAGAATGTTCATGAATCACATTTATATCAAGTTATTTACATATGACTAAGTTACAGATTATATTACAGAGGTAAACCAAACCAATCTTGGCACACTTTTCGTTGCCTTATAATTTATAAAAATCAAGTGCTTTAAAAAAAGCGGAATAAACACAAATAACCCTCATATTTTGTAAACTTACTGTATTGTTATTCTGTGTAAATCAGTAAGTCTTCATTAATAGCAAAGAAAGAATGGTTCTCTGAATCATTATCGTTAATAGTAAAGAAATATTGTTAATTAATAAAAAATGCCTTTTTTGACCACGTTATGTAAATAAATAAATAAATCTTAATACTTTCGACTAATAGAATTAATTATTATTAATTTTAATGACAGGTTCTTTGAATAATTTACAGTTTAATTTTTCTTGGTAAAAATATTAATGTACTAATAGTTTTTTAATTATGAAACAAAAATCTTTACAAATTAATTTTTAAATGGATAAAATCAATTTTTTATTAATATTAAATAAACTATAATAAAATTTCTATTTGAAGCATATGAAAACGTGTAATATTGAAAGTTGTGAAAAACTATGTTAAACAGCTCCATAACGTTTTCACTAAAGAAAGTTCAACTGTAAAATGTTGACAAAACCTGCCATTAAAATTTAGAATGCATGACCCGTGTGTTTATTATTTTATTTATAAATAATTTTCTTAAAACAATATTTTGAAGAAGTTATTAATCATAATTTTTAAGTTTCTTAAGTTTGCAATATTTATAATATCGAAAAGATAAATAAAAGTTAAAGAATATTTGTTTGTAATTGGTAATATATCTCGTATAGATTAGCAATCTATAATTAATTTATAATGGTATACAAGTATTATAAATGCTTTGATAAAAGAAATTTCACTATCGTGCAGGACAGTAGAATTCACTTATAATGTTTGTGTACACGCCATAAGCGCGCCATATGACTCCCGGTGCAAAAAATTCATATGCGAATACATTAACGACGTCTGGCACACACACACACAACACAGACTTGGTAGAACGTCAGTAGATCGTGTTACGATAGGACCGGGGCAGAATCTAAAGTAGGACCGTGGAATTGCTTCGAAGAAAAAGAGTCTCATTAACATTACACTTTTTATATTTTCGCAATAATGTTCGCAGTGAGGCGTATTCCGATTTTTAAAACAATGTAAGTATGACAGTTCCCTTCTTACATTCGTCGCCTTTCTCGCATTATGTAATTTCTAACCTATTCTATCACATTCTGCAATCTTGATATTCGCCCAACAATGTTTATAATATATATATGTATATATAAAAAGAAAACTAAGTGTTATCAAATTATTATATGAATGCAACATTATATAATAAGTCACTGCTAATAATGCACGATAATCTGTTAAACAATTCGTACATTTTTTGGAGATACTTGAGCTTATATATATATGTGTATCTCTTATAAATAACATATTTTGCAGCAAGGACGCATTCACAAGGCCGAAACACACTCTCCCAGATCTGCCATACGACTACAAGGCTTTGGAACCTATCATATCTGCAGAGATCATGCAACTTCATCATTCCAAACATCACGCAACCTATGTTAACAACCTGAATATTGCAGAAGAGAAGTTGAAGGAGGCAACTAGTAAAGGCGACATAAATACTCAAATTTCTCTACTTCCAGCCATCAAATTCAATGGTGGCGGACATCTCAATCACACAATTTTTTGGAGCAATTTGTCACCCAGTGGCGGTAATCCAGATGGTAATAGTGACAAATTAACCAAATGTAATCGATTATTTTCTGATTTAAGTTCAATTTAGAAGTCTAATTTTTTTTAAATTTAAGAAAATTCAATTTTTCCAACTTTTTAAAAGAAAAAATAACGGTTCATGTAAGCATTTGTATTTATGCAAATGACACATTATTTACATGTTTCCACAGCTGCTCTTGTGAAACAAATTGAAAAGGATTTCGGTAGTATGGAGGAAATGAAAAAATGCCTGTCAGAGTCCACTGTGGCGATCCAGGGTTCTGGGTGGGGTTGGCTTGCTTACAATCAGAAAAGCAAGTCCCTCAGGATAGCAACCTGCGCAAATCAGGACCCATTGCAACCCACGACTGGTCTCATTCCTCTCTTTGGTATCGACGTGTGGGAGCACGCCTATTACTTGCAGTACAAGAACGTGCGACCCGATTATGTGAAAGCAATCTTCGACATTGTCAATTGGAAGGATGTAAATGCACGCTTCAAAACTGCCATCGGCTGTTAAGAGATGAGCACACGAACAGAGTTTAGCGCTTAATATTCACCTTCAATGCTAAGTTGTCACTTAGAACAATGGCTACATTCAGCAAAAGCTACTTTGCATTGCAACTGTTATAAAACTTTATTGACTCTGATTATATTAAATGGATTCTTGAATTCAGCCAAGATTAAAAGCATATATCAATCAAACTTATGAATTTCACTCATAATCGTTGCAAAGAAACTTTTTCTGTTGAACATAATCAATGTTTTTGTTAAGATTGGAATGTCGTTGCGAGTTCTCATCATGCTCGATAACAAACTGTGATTTTATTTTTCTTGTATTTATATATATATATATATATATATATATATATATATATATATATATATATATATATGTACTATCTGTATCACATTTTAAATGTGTTATTGTTACAAGCAAGTACCAAAATAAGTATAATATGTATAGAGTGCATTTTGTATCTTGTCTTATGGTAAAATAAGAACAAGAAGTAATAATAGTGTTTTTAATCTGACAACATTTGATAACTGCGAGTATCCCAACTACTGTTAATATAAGTTATTATTTCATACATATATTTTAGAGCTAAGTCGTCCTTATATTCTCTCTCTATAAAATATAAAAGAGGTTATGTGTAAAAGTACTAAAAAATGTCAAACGTGGATGTTACGAGTCGCAGATACAAAAATTGTCAAACGTAAGTTGGTGTCGGAAATCAACGCACAAGAATTGACATAAACGTAGACGATGCGAGAGATATGGCTTAAAACGATCGCGATAATCTTTATGCTCAAGTCTAAAGAACGACGGTTCTCAGCCGGCTGTTACTCCTGGTAGCGATAGAGGCGACATTTAGCCTGTTTTTTTTTGTAGCTGAAGTGGCTGTATGTGCTAGTTTGCACTAATTTTTTCTTTTTTTTTTACTTCAAGTTGTAATTATACACCTGTTTCTTCTGATATTCCGAAAGTGCGTACTAATTCAACTACAAAAAGAACAGGGACCTATCGACGTGATCGATCGGACGCACCGCCTCCGAGAACGCCATCGCGCAGCGAGGAGCGACGCGACGCGACGCGGCGCCGCCAGCGGAGAAATCGGGCCGAGTGGCGTCGCGACGCTCGGCGTGCACGCTCGGCGGTTCCGAGGAGCGTCTTCGTGGAGTCACGGAGCCAGTATGGCCGTAGCACCTCAGCTGTTTTCACGTCACTGCCCACGTATCTGGTGAGTGTCCGCAGAGCAAGCAGCGTTCTCGACGTCCTCGCGTGTGCCGTTCCTTCGCGCGCTACCGCCGTTCGCCGTTCACGCCGCGCGCGCGGAATCATGCGACAGGTGAGGTGAGGCGGTCACGAGAGAGACGAGAGACAGAGAGGTACGTAGACGTGCATCATCCCTGCGTGATCGCGCGCTCTTTATTAGCGCAGCAGAGCCGAACAAAGCGCAACGTTGTGCGAGTTAAACAGCGACGGCGGACGGATTACTTATTCAAACGACCGCCGTTATCGACGACATCGAGCGTTTTCGAAGCGCTCGCGCCCGCGCCGAACGAACTTGTTCTCTCCTGTGTGCCGATCGTCGTCTTATGGCGAGAAAACTACGAAGGGAGAAACGTCGACGGAACGAACTGTTTCTATTTCTGGTTCGTAATCTTCCGCAAAATTACGTCGCGAACCGATCGCTCGCGTTTTTTAATTTCGTGACGAGTGTCGTGCAGAGGTCGCTCGATCGCCATTCGCTCTATACGCGTTTGAGTTTTAAATTATAACCCTCCGACTAGAAATAGTCATTGAAAAATGGCGGTTGAAAGTGCGTCAAATCGAAAAACGTACGAAGAAGGACGAAGGTGTCTGCGACGTGTCCAAGATGAGACTCCGTGATTGAGATCCTGCGGGAAACGCGTTGTGAGATTCGCTGACACCGCGATATCTGAGTTCGTATTTCGGATCATTCCATGAATCACGATTACCGCGAATTGTACGAACTTCTGATTGTCGACAGCCGTTATTTGCGATTCGCAATCAGTTGTACAAAGAAGCGGCCACTCACGGCACAAATTTGCCGAACGATTCGCGTTATGTTGGGGATCGAAACATAAGGGGTAGATAACGGAACGATCAGCAGGTATAACAATTTATGTGAAACGGCGAATTCGTACGCGATAAAAATAGCAGTAACGCGGATTTATTCGTTTATACCGCTTGTACTTTGATCAATGTTGAAACACTTTTCGTTACCTCCGACAGGGACAAAGTTTCAAACGGATAAAGGCAGAAGCAGCAGTGTTAAGGAGCAAACAGGAACGTTGTATTCTTGCTAGAGTCTGCTAATCTGGTGATTCGATATTAGAGACAGCGGAAGGGACGATTCCATGTTTCGCCATTATGTAGAGGCAATCATCTGTTTTAGTCACAGCTGTTCTCTGCCTCGTCGCTTCTCGCAATTATCGGTTCGTATATTTCTTCATTATTTATCGTCAGATATGCCTCGACTTGCATCGACAAAAGATAAGATACTAAACCTCTTTTCGTATCGAAAGAAGCAAGAATATGGCACGGAATTAGATTAGCTTTCAGTTCGATCGCGAGCTTTGCGCATATAATCGCTTCTCAGACAGTACAGACCTCGAAGAGATGTCCCGAAAATGTTCAGAGAACATTCCTACGTCTTCGCGATATCCCCAAGACATCCTTTGGAAACTTGTGATGTCTGAACTCTGACATCTCATTTAAGGGAGAATCTACTCGAGTTTCCTCGAGAGGGAGAAAGAGAGAGAGGAAGTTCACCAGACGCAGACGTCAATTCGTGCTCAAACTCTCTGTTCTTACCAGTTCTCTCATTTCCTGTACGCGTTTCCATCGCAGGTCGTTGTAGAAGATGTCTACGGTTGAATTCGCGAAACGAGAGGCGTAGTACATGTACGAGGATTGAAGGGTTCGAAGAATGGTCATAAAGGATGAACAATGCTCCGAAGGATATAAACGAAGGACGAGAGGGTAGGTCAGTGATGATCGAAGTTCCGTGAGACGTGGTCGTTAACTTGTTAACGAGCCGATATCTCGGATGACGCGGGATGTTCAAGTATGGCCGTCAGATTGTCTTCACAATATGATATAGCTTCGATTCTCTCAAGTGAAACTTGTTGTTCGCGATTGATTTCCTCAATTAAATTTACGCTGAAAAAAAGTCGTCGTGTCAAATCCGTGGAATGTCACTGATCGTAGGGGATAGGAGATTCTTCTCGTGCGCTTCATATGTGCGTACATATATCGATGCATTGAAACGGATATTATCACTTTGTTACACTGGGAAACTAATGAAGGAGAATATTTCGTGTGCCGTACAGTGACCTTTCTCGAAGAAGAGCGAGAAAGACGATCTGCTGTGCAACGTTTCGCGGTACTACAGTTTTTGTTTCTCGAATAAAAATTATTTGGAAGCGATATTTTCGCAGTGAAAGTGCCAGTGATAATAAAAGATCAGCTTGTAGCTGTAGACGTGTTAAAAATGAATAATGTATAAATGGAAAAATAGTTAGATTTTGTTATTCTTCATTTAGATTGTTCTAGTCTTGATTAAATTTTATCTGAATATCGCTCTCGAATATTCAACGTTGGAGGTATAGAAGTTCCGAGAATAGAAGTTCCGAGAATAGATAGCGATATAATAATATTTTGAATAATCAAGATTACATCAGATCTCGAAACGAGTGGCAGCTAAAATCGTCTGCTCCAGTTTTCCGGCTATAGGATATTGGTTTTTAAAGGATTTTATCATAATGAAACTCCGGGTACCGCGGCAAATAATGAAACTTTATTCCTCGTGAAAATTTCACGAGTCTCGCTTTGATATAGAATCTTATACAATTTATTATAAAATCTTATTACATAGAATCTTATAATTGTAGAAGTCTCCCCCATCAAGTTCAATCAGTCGTTAAAACAAACGATGTTTAATTGAATTTTCTTCCAAGGAAACTTTTATTCGACAATCTCGTCCTGTAGGAAAAATAGGCTAATTGCGAATAACTGTCTTGCTTCTCTTTTATGTCTTTTACAGACAGTTCAAGATCCTGTTTTCAGAATGTGTATTCTCTGTCATTCTTACCGAAGGTGACCGAATATTGCGTCTCGGACGCGTTACATGTCAATAATTCGACCCCTGGGACGGCGCGTCGTGTCGCCGTTCGCGCCAAGGAGATGATTTTTGTATACTTGATCGAAGAGAGAGAGGAAGTGCATCTTGGGGGGCGCTCGCCCTCTCAACCTTGCTAGTGCCATTGCTGTCGCTACTAGTGTTGCTACTGCTCTTGCTGTTGCTCCTGCTGCTGCTGTGTGCGCGCACGGTGCCGTCGGCGACGTCCGTGGGTATCTTTACTTATTGATTGCTCCGTGGAAATTGGCCGGCGCCGCCTGCGTCGCATCGGTCGATCGTCGTCGGGTTGCAGGCTGACGTCACCCCCGTGTGCCTTCGCGGGTTATTGATTTTCTCCCCCTAGGCGCTTCGCGATTGGTCCATAAACCGAGAAAGCGGCCAGACACGGCCCTGGACCACCACGGTGTTGTCGATCGACGCGCGCACCCCGTCGCCCTTTCGCGCGTCGTGCCTCCTTCTGTGTGTGTATATACGTGGGTGGCCACGTTGACTCGAAACTAACCAGCACCCTCCCTGTAGTGCTATGCCGGTGCCGCGATGCCGCTCGTGGTGGTGGTGGCTTCGTAGGAAGAGCTAGGTGGAGACGCGCTTCGACGGCAAAAGCCGAGATCGAATTGTAATAGGAGAACACGGAGGTGACGCACAATCACGCTCACCCTCCTCGCTCTTGGAGGTAAGCCGACGAAGGGGCAGCGATTAATTGGCTTCGGAGCGTCGCGCACGAGGGAGACAGAGACTCCGGCTTTGGCGCTGACCAATCGTGCACATCGGCGCACCCACGCACCCATCTCCTTGCGCACTGACCTTTCATTGGAAACGAATTCCTTTGGTTTGCCAGAAAGGATTTCCCGCGAAAGCGCCGACGGATGATTCACGCGGGTCAAATGCACCGATGTGTGGCTGGGTGGAGGAGAGGGGGAGACTGACTGTAACGCATCCTCATTGGAGTACGAAAATTACCCTTGTCTCCAATTTCCTCGATGTGCGTGCGTCAATGCGGAGGTTGCTCGACAGTCTTCCTATAGCTATAAAGTTTCATTTGCGTATCACGCATCGTCGTTAAACTTATCGGAGATCCTCTGGAGCGCGATAAGTTTTTAAAGGGTGATTCTTTCGAAATAGCAAATAACATTTTCTTATTCAATCTCCGATTTCTCGTACAAAGGTTCATATTCAAAAAACGCTGTGGTATTTATTCTTGATGCATCTGCTTTTAAATTTGTAGGGATGTTCCGTAACTGGCGATGCAATTGGAAACATAACGATATCACATGAAAGAAATGAATTGGCTTGGCTTTTGAGAATGGTAAATTTATTCAAGTGATTGTTCAGGTAAATTGTTTTGTATAAATACAGAAATTGTATTTATACAATATTAAATTGTATTTTAAGGCAGTAAGGCGTCTGTAGAAAAGCGTGTAACAGTTCTAATACAATTTTATGGGCATTTTAATAAAAATATCACGGCGCACATGCTTTCCATACGCATAGAAAAATTTGTACTGCATTCAAGTAAATGTTACTTGCTTCAAGTATCTTATAAGTTTATATATCCGCAAATCTATCTGATAAGTTTGTTATTTTACTCAAGAAAAAAAAAATAAAAATTAAAACAAAAATTCAATTTACTTTACTGCATAGAGTCGAATCAACTTTTTCTTTGATTAAGTTTTATAATATCTTTGTAAAGAGGATAAATTCTGTTTCACTCCGCGTGTCGTCCGACAAGGAAATCATGGGCTTGCAGTTGCGTGTATGGCGCAGCAACTATTACAACCCTTACGACCACCTACGAGACGCTCGTGCGCGTTACGTCCCCCTTTCTCCTCCCTTCGGTTGTTGAAATATAGCGCGGTAACTTGAGCCAGGAGACGCGATCAAGGATGCTTCGGTTTAATAGGGTACAGGTATTTTTACTCGTTTCATATCGAACGTTATGTGCGCGGATCGTAAAACATTTCTTTCGCCGTGAGGACGAAACCTGTGAAAAAAAGAATAGCGAGCTTGCTCAATTTCCTCAGCAGTCTTCGACGATTTCGTTTCTCCGTTTACGTGTCGACATTCCTACATTGTTCACTCCATGAATTTTTTTTCTTCAGTAGGGCATGCAACATATGGAACGCTTCTTCGAGAAATGTCGATGTATAGTCGTGCGGTCCTGATATCGAAGGGGTAGAAGTAGCCTACTGAACTGAAGCATCCCTATCCTAGACACCTAGTCGCGTCCTCGACGACGACAGTGACGATAACGACGACGACTACGAGGGATAGGTAGACGGAGCAATACGCAGGCGCCCGCGGTGTACGTCGTCAGCACTCGCCACGGACAATCGGGGGTGGTGGTGGTGTTGCAACGGCGAAGTGACTGCTCGCTTTCGACTGCGCGGTAGGCAGGATAACTCTCGGTCCGTACGAAAGCGTATGCATGCGCGGGTGTTCACGCGTGAGTGTTACGTGGGCGAACGCGCTATAATGTCCGCTTACGTCGAAATCGAGGGTTTCGTGGATCGCGGATCGTCCAGCGGATGGCCGACGTAGTGATTGCGAGGAACAGCCAACGACGTCGTAGAGTATTGCGTGCGCAACAGTGCGGAGCAGTGTGTCGCGACTTTAGTTCGGTCTCGCAGCTTTCCTCGCGTGGTTTTTTGGGGTAGGATACATTGTATACGGCGGTTCTGTCGGGCCGAGACACCCTCGGCCACAGGCAGCACTTCGTCTACCGCCGTACGCTTCTCGCTCGTCGTCTTTCATCGAGACGAAAGGCGAATCTCGTTCGCGCGAACAGCGCCGAAGGTAAGCGCCGTCGTCTCCTCCGTGAACATGGACGATCGATCGTAAAAATCCACATATACACTATGCACTATTCCTCGCCTCCGCCCGCCTTCCGGACCTTCCGCGAGTTCTCGGACGCCGTCGTCGTATCGATTTCGCCACCGCCGTCGCCACTGCTGGTGCCGATGGTGTTTTCCACTGATCTCTATACACACCTGGAGGTATGGCGTGCACATAGTGGCTTCGTTTCAGGAAGTGTGTGACCAATGGAACACCAGGAAGCAATTAAAGGCGTGCGTTATTCATTTCTCCTTCTGTCCGCCATGTTTAAATTCATAATGTACTACTTTTACCACACGGTGAAATGCTCTTCTTTGTTCTGGTTTTTTTTTTTATTATTCAAATCTTTTCTTCACTTTTACACAAATGCACTTTTGATATAATTTTTAGGTAAATTCTGTGCGCGAAAATCTATCGCTCGATTCTCACGTATGACATAGTTCGATGCCAACTATCCCATATTGAGCTCGAATAACTTTGAAGCTTCTGTTTAGTCATGTCATTTGGTTATATCATATTTAGGTGTGTATAGCGATCAATGGTATTTTCACATCGATTGTGGGGTTGACCTCATAGCAGGAATATCTCTCTGGAATGCGACGTTGATCGTGTTTCTTCAGTCCTCTAACGTACATCGTGTACACCGTGAGACGCAAATTGTGACGTCGCGGAAATGTAAATGAATTTTATACATTTGTGCTGATGTTTTACCTTGACAATTAGCGCGATAAATCTGCTTGCATGATAAACATCTCATAAGCTAGCAGATCGCGCGAGCTGCTCTTCAAAGTTCTATTTGACGATCGATCTGGACTTGCGAGAATTGACAGGATCGATAACGCATTGGCGTACTAATGGCGCGACACGATCTTGTTACAGAAGGACGAACGAGAGAGGAAATTCGCCGACACCGCCGCCGGCGTGATTCAACATTGATTTGAAAGAGGAAACATATTAGAGTAAAATGTCGTCGGTTAAGGTGGCGGTGAGGGTACGACCCTTCAACAGTCGTGAGATTCGTCGCGAGGCACAATGTATTATAGAAATGACGGGAAGTACTACTTGTAAGTTTCTGACGTGTGAAATCTGCAAGTGTTGATTTACCGTGTGAATCAGATTCGAGCGGCTATTTTTGTGTTACAGCCATAGCGAATCCTAAAGCCACACCGGGAAGCAAAGACTCCGTTAAAAGTTTCAATTATGATTATTCCTACTTTTCTATGGATGTAAGTGTAATTTCTCTTTTTGATAAATATTGTTATCTAGACTATATTTTGTTACATGTGCATTCGGTGGTCTTAATTTGTCGATATTGCAGCCAAATGACGAGAATTACTCGTCTCAACTCATGGTTTACAAGGATATTGGTGAAGAAATGTTGGAACATGCTTTCGAAGGTAGATACTAATCCTAATGACTGATATTGCAATTGTCACAATGGCTAGACGGGGAAAATCGTACTTCAGATTCAAAAGATTTAAGCTTTTTTCGTAGAATTCACATGACTCAACGACGTTTAATAATACTTGATTTCATCCCGTGACACAGGCTATAACGTTTGCATTTTTGCATACGGTCAAACTGGTGCCGGTAAATCTTACACCATGATGGGTAAGCAGGAGGAAGGGCAAGAGGGAATAATACCACAGATCTGCAAGGACCTGTTTAGGAAAATCAGCTATACGTCTAACGAACGACTAAAGTACTCGGTAGAAGTGAGTTATATGGAAATATACTGCGAGAGAGTGCGCGATCTGTTGAATCCAAAGAACAGGGGAAATCTTCGAGTAAGAGAACACCCTCTTCTGGGGCCTTACGTCGAAGATCTTTCCAAGCTGGCTGTAATGTCATATGAGGACATCCATGATCTCATTGACGAGGGAAACAAAGCCAGGTTATTACTTGTAGTAATTACTCGTATCACTTTTATGATATATTGTGTAATATACGATCGCTAAATAACACCTCGATCGTATTCCAGGACTGTCGCAGCAACCAACATGAATGAAACCTCCAGCAGATCGCACGCAGTGTTTACGATATTTTTCACGCAACAGCAACAGGATTGTGCCACTGGTTTGGTAACAGAAAAAGTCAGTAAGATATCGCTGGTCGATCTGGCGGGATCTGAGAGAGCCGACTCGACGGGCGCAAAGGGAACGCGACTGAAGGAAGGAGCTAACATTAACAAAAGTTTGACTACTCTTGGAAAGGTTATCAGTGCTCTCGCTGAAATCGTAAGTATTATCTGTTATCGAAGTTTTATGTTCTCACATTTCATTTGGATATATTATCGAATACGCATCGTGTACTGATATCAATGTTGCGTTCATTGGTTGCTTTGACACGGATTGTCAGGCGGTAAGTTCAACGGAGAATTAATATTAAGACATAAGAAAAGATTTAAAATTATGATGAATAGTTAGTAATAATTGTGCTCGAAATTTGGTGTTTCCCTTAGGCGACGAAGAAAAAGAAGAAAGCCGATTTTATACCATACAGAGACTCTGTTTTAACATGGTTATTGCGAGAGAATTTGGGAGGAAATTCGAAAACTGCCATGATTGCGGCAGTAAGCCCCGCGGATATCAATTACGACGAGACGCTTTCGACCTTAAGGTAAGCTTCTTCATTATATATATATATATATATATTTTTTTTTAATCAGTGTGAAACATTTAATTGTCTCCTGATCTGAGAGATCCCTCTGTTCTGTGTTCGTAGATACGCGGACAGAGCGAAACAGATCGTTTGCAAAGCCGTGGTCAACGAGGACGCGAACGCCAGACTTATCAGGGAACTCAAAGAGGAGATACAGAAATTGCGGGAACTTTTAAAGCAGGAGGGCATCGATGTACAAGAAGGTAAGTCGAAAATCCACTATTTTTTTAGGTTTAGAATCGATGAAATCCCAGTGTGTAAATCAGATTACTAAAGATTTTTTTATTATTAAAAATATACGGATGAAGACAGGCTAATTAAAGTTACAAATTAACTAACAATTATAAATATCCGATTGTGAATATAACTCTGTCTAGATTAATTTGATAAATTTATAGAATATGTAGATTTTATACATGTATAATTACATATAATTAGCATCGTAAACCCACTTTTGCTTATCTTTTTATCTGTTACGCTAATTACCAACTGCCCAACGTTTCGTATATATTATGGCTACATTATATAGAAAATATTCAGGAACCAACGCTCGTATCATAATGCGAACTCTTGGCCGCTATAAATTAATTGTAATTACGCAGCGCGCGCGACAGACAATCCATTCACATAGTATTTTGTTCTTTGTTTCTCTTGCGCTCGACGTAGGGCCAGATGGCAAAGTTACGTACGAAAAGAAAGAACCTAGTAAGTAAAAATGCTAACAATCCATACAGCAAAGAACTACAGCCAGGACAGCCATCGTCCACTTCTTGCGCCTCTTTTTTAGACATTTCATTATTTTTGATTTTGGTCTATGCGCTTATTTCACCGCCAAGCGCATAATACATATCAATGGTGTATTTGTCAATTTCATTGATTTTACACATTTGCTTCGCGAGTTTTCTTTCTCATTTAATGTACGTATCTATTCCGTTAATGCCTATCGATTGCATTCCCTTCTCTCATATCCGATACAATTTAGTAGCTTCTGTAGGTTGTCAAAATTCCAACGAGATACTCTCAGTACTGCATAAATCAATAACTATTTATGCTTCCGCTTACAAAAACGATCGTTCAAAAAGAGAAAAAAGAAAATGAAACTGTGAAGTTGACAGACAATATGATACGATAAAGGCGCCAGATCGACGGGTTTATCAAATGAACAAAAATGCATATAATAGATATTGAACAGTGTGATACACATTCATATAGTGATCATGCTTGTATACGTTACATTGTGCCGGTGATTTACCAAAAAGCATCAATTAGTTTACCCGAGTTATGTCTTTACTGCTTTGAAATTTACTGTAGCCACAATACGAACTCTACAGCTTCTGGAATACTTCTCTTCACCTGTGCCACTGCTTTAATTATGGCTTTCGGTGTTTATACCGCGACACATGGTATCGACTCTGACCCAGGCTTGCCGTTTTGAAAGCTGCAATCCTTCCCTTGGATCTTGACGATTTTCATTTTGCAGGGGACGAAATTGTCAGAACAAACAAGCGCGAGGAAGATGTCAAAGAAAGCCGCTCGAGGATTCCTTCTCACACTACGTCTTCTCTCGCCGAGGAAGCGGTGGATCAGTTGCAAGCGTCGGAGAAATTGATCGCAGGTAACTACGCATGACTTTACTCGTGAACATGTTTTTCGCCGTTTCTGTTTCTCACCGTTACAGACAACATTAATCAGTCATCGTGATCACTTATCACTTACCGCGTTCTACTTCTGTACTTGTAGAACTAAATGAAACATGGGAGGAGAAGTTGAAGCGAACTGAATCGATTCGCTTGCAACGCGAGGCGGTGTTTGCCGAGATGGGAGTCGCCGTGAAAGAAGATGGTGTGACAGTGGGCGTCTTCTCCCCCAAGAAGACGCCGCACTTGGTGAATTTGAATGAGGATCCGCTCATGTCGGAGTGTTTAATTTATTATATCAAGGATGGATTTACGCGTATCGGCAGCGCCGAGGCGAACATACCGCAGGATATCCAGTTATGCGGTCCGCACATACTCAGCGAGCACTGCGTTTTCGAGAATCACGAGGGTATTATAACTCTGATACCGAAGAACGGAGCTTTGATTTATGTCAACGGTCGCGAGGTGACCGAGCCGCTGACCCTGACGACCGGTTCACGCGTGATTCTGGGCAAGAATCACGTTTTCCGATTCAATCATCCAGATCAAGGTGTGTACTTGCTGAATTGCGAGATGATTTAATTGTTTACAGCTTCTCACGAGAGCATAACTAGCGTAACTAATTAAGGTATCATACATTCCTCGTACAATCGTATAGTGCGCGAACGAAGAGAAAAGGGATCCCCGGCGGAAACACCCGGCAACGGCGAAACCGCGGATTGGGATTTTGCACAGATCGAATTACTTGAAAATCAGGGTATCGATCTGAAGGCTGAAATGGAGAAGAGATTGCTCGTGTTGGAGGAACAGTTCCGTAAGGAGAAGGAGGAAGCCGATCAGTTATTTGAGGAACAACGAAAGGTGCGTTGTACGAATACATTCACATATGCGTGATTCACTTTTTTAATTATTGTGCGTTATCGTGATCGATCGCTTCTGTGAACAGAACTACGAAGCGCGGATAGACGCGTTGCAGAGACAAGTGGAGGAACAGAGTATGACAATGTCTATGTATAGCAGTTACACGCCGGAAGATTTCAACAATATCGAGGAAGATATTTTCGGTGAGTATGGAGACGAGTTGCTTCTGACTCTCGACTTGATTTCGGTTTAGCTATGCCCGATCGATCGGGCGTGTTCTATCTTGTTGTAACGTTCCAGATTTACGAATCATTTCGTAAGTTCTCACATACACACCCACACGTACACACTGTTGAAACGTGAAAATTTTTACTGCATGCGACGATATCTAAATTATTACTCGTCGATAGGACATAGCACATTTTCTTAAACGAAGTTAATCGGCGTTCCATTCAAATGCTTGGCTTTTCTGACTGTTTTGCCTGGTAATGGCTTGCATTTCAGTCAACCCATTGTTTGACGCAGAGAGCAACTGGACCGAGAGAGAGTTTCAACTGGCCGCTTCGGCCTTCCGCAAGTGGAAATACCACCAATTCACGAGTTTACGGGACGATCTTTGGGGCAACGCGATATTCCTTAAAGAGGCTAATGCCATATCCGTTGAACTAAAGAAGAAGGTATAGTCGCGGACGTACAGAGCAAAATTTTCGCACGGCTTATTTGACTTACGTTTATCTCTGCACCATGTTCTCACGTATTTTCGGAAATGAACTTTCTTTTTTTCGTATTTCCTTCACTCGCGAATAACAGTGTTTGTGCGTGCGATTCGTGCATTTATATGCGTACGCATTTTTTCGAGATTATTATCGATATTCCTATTCAGTGCTAATGTCGCGAGTATTCAATGCAAGAACGGCACTTGTCATTGAGCGTGATATTTCTAAAAAAAAGACATTAACGAGAAAAGCATTTTTCTTTGCCATTGAGTGACAGATTTTATTCCATCGATTTTCTCTTCCAGGTTCAATTTCAATTCACGTTACTGACGGACACTCTTTATTCACCGCTACCGCCGGATCTTTTACCCGTCATGGACGATGAGGAGGAGGATGAAAGGCCGTTCCCGCGCACGATCGTCGCTGTTGAGGTTCAGGACACGAAAAACGGTGCCACGCATTACTGGACATTAGACAAGCTAAGGTTTGCTTTCTATGTGTATTTTGTATCTTACAATCGCAATTTGCAAAATATTCGTGAGAAGAGAAATATGTTTTATATTTAAGAAGAAGGCAATTCTTTCGCTATTTTATTATAATATTAATTCACGTCCTCGAGAGAAAATCGATAATACTCTATTAAATAACCTTGTAATTAAACGATAATTACATATTGTACATATATGCACAGTCGTCTGTTCGCGAGTTGCACGTATGGTAATGTTATTGATTCACGAAGAGGCGATTGTGTCACCGTGATATGTGATTGGCCTTTGAATTCGTATTTCGAGAACCACTTGCTTGAAATTAAAAGTACGCAAAGACTTTTATTACTTAATTTTCTTTTGAATACGCGAATTTCGAGACATTCTGTGTATCACGCCAAATTTTATACATCCAACATGTAGCATGTCCTATATCGTTGTCGTTCAATTGCGAATCACTATAAATGAAGTATAAGACCTTTCCATGCAACCTTCGACAATATTCTTTTATTTTATTTCGTTACCAATGCACGAGTACATATTTTATGTTACCTTGATGAGAAAACCGTAATTGAAAATGATGGATTATATTGGAAATTAAACACGTATTTTTTTCGCAATATTCACGTTAACATATTAACGCGAAGTGACGAAAAATTCCGTCAGAAATCTTCACGCAAATGTCACTATGAGAGACGCTTAAACTTGCTTTGAGCTCGCGGAACCGCGTGTGTATCAGCGATCCGGGGCGAGACAGAGAAAGAAATCTCGCAGCTTATTTGTTAGAACAAGTTCGGATAGAAGTCGGCAACGGACGCACAGCCCACTCACGCGAGTAATACATGTTAAATTATAGACAGCGCTTGGAGCTGATGCGACACGTGTACAACGAGGACTCGAGCCCCAGCACTCCGGAGGCCAAAGAGGATATTTTCCAATGCCTTACAGTCTACTCTAATCCGAAGTTCTCGCTCGCAAATCTTTTGCCTTCGAGGTTGGTGCTCGAACGCGCGAGGCTCTCCTCTCTTTAACGCCATATGTAACAACACGCTTTTATACGCCCGGCCTCGAAGAATCCTTTAACTGGTGCAAAAGTCGTTTTGTCGCCGCGCGTTTCTTCCGCTCTTTCTATCTTAAGAGACTTCCTCGAATACATATATGGCAATGTTCATCCTCTTGAGTGTGGTACACGAGAGAAACGAGCTTTGCACTTGGAGCTCGCCAAAAATCTATGGATCGATGGATCTTGCATGGTTTTTCAACTCGTAGCGTAACGACGATCGGAACAACGAATAGACACATTTATATATATACATACGAGCTTCTTCTGCAACAAAATAAAATGTACGCCATCGGTTACGCAGCACCGCTTCTGCTGCTGTGAACATTGCTCTATGCTGTCTGAATGTGAGAAAAACAAAAATTCTCTCTTCACATTCCGTGCACGTCTGTCTCAAACACTGACACATCTTCCAATCATCTCCTCGCTGAGCTCGTGTCCTCACTCTTTCTCTCGCTTTCTGATTTTGTTATGCACGTATATCTGATCAGATCTGCAGTCCGATTGAGAAAGCGATCGAACTGAAGTAACAAGGGGACCTCGAAATTATTTATCATGCAACAAGCATAAATATACCACGACATTTATTGCTAATTATCGTATAACGTTTGTTTAAATGTCGAACGACACACATATATATATATCACACTGCAAGAACAAAGATATCTTCGATAGAAGATATGCGTTTGGAGACATTACTTCTTTTAATGTGAGTAACACTGTGTTCGGTTGTAATAAAGCGTGTAAGAAAAGCAAAGATATCGATCGATTCGGAGTATCCGAGAAGATGCGTCTGAAGACCGAACTGAACCAATTTCTTAACGGATATAGCACACGAAAGTTATAATCACATTTACCTAACTTCTTGTCGTGGGGAAATCGTAATAAACACTCGATTTTGCCTATCTTGCAGACAAAGATTGGAACTGATGCGCGAGATGTATCATAATGAGGCCGAGCTGTCGCCTACATCTCCAGATTATAACGTCGAGTCCATCAACGGAGGTGATCCATTCTACGACCGATTCCCCTGGTTTCGTATGGTCGGCAGGTAAATAAGATCGTAATCGATCGATTTTTCCGCTTCTCTCCACATTTTTTAACCGCCATTGCGTTAATATTATCTTATGTCAATTTTAAGATCCTTCGTGTACCTAAGTAACCTCATGTATCCAGTGCCGTTGATTCACAAGGTCGCCATTGTGAACGAAAAGGGTGACGTGAAGGGTTACCTGCGAGTTGCTGTACAAGCCGTAGTTGGTACGTAAACCGTCGCCGTGTCCTTAGATTTCTCCTCGTAAGACGTACATAACGAACCCTTCTTCCAGAAGAGGAAAACAGCGAATACTCAAGTGGCGTCAGACAATCAGCACGAATTTCCTTCGAGGACGACTTGTTCGGCGGACAGAAGCATAATAAACGTAGCACACTGTTGGCCCAAACTTTAGAGAAGAATCGACAGATCATGTTGCACGAGGACCGCGTGGTCGAGGGACACAATGAAGTACAGAAAGATATGAAAGACGAGGACGACATAGGAGACGCCGATAGCGGCAGAGGCGACAGCTCGGTTTCGAGTGATATGAAGGAGGAGGACTTGCCGGATCACCTGCAACCTGGCGCAGAGTTTACTTTTAGAGTAACGGTCCTACAAGCCATGGGTATTTCTACAGAGTACGCCGACATTTTCTGTCAGTTCAAGTAAGTGACATTCGTAGTACTCGTGGCATTTTTATCCCGGTTTATTTCGAGACTATACGCGACTGGAATGCAATGATCCTTGCAGCTTCTTACATCGACACGACGAGGCTTTCTCAACGGAACCGGTGAAGAACACAGGCAAAGGCAATCCACCCGGATTTTATCATGTACAAAATGTGAGTGAGATTCCAAGAAGAAACTTTTCTAGTTTTTATTAAAATAAGATTCCATTAATCGATGTGTAATCTTCTCAGATTACAGTCACAGTCACTAAATCTTTCTTGGAGTATCTGAAGACACAACCTATCGTTTTCGAGGTGTTCGGCCATTATCAACAGCACCCGTTACACAAAGACGCGAAACTGGAATAGTAAGTATCGATCTTACTTGAGTTGACTGAATAAAATCTTGTTTAAGAAACATTTTGCAAACATGTACCGTACGTGTGTTGCAGTGTACGACAGCCGCCGAAGAGGATGCTTCCGCCATCCATACCGATCAGCCAGCCGGTGCGTTCGCCGAAATTCGGCAGTGTTCTGCCGTCTCCTAGCACGTCTCATGTGCATGCAAAGTACGACGTGCTGGTGTGGTTCGAGATCTGCGAGTTGGCGCCGAACGGCGAATACGTGCCATCCGTGGTGGACCACAGCGACGACTTACCGTGTCGTGGACTGTTCCTGCTTCACCAAGGCATACAGCGGCGCATACGGATCACTATTGTGCACGAGCCGGCCTCCGAATTAAGATGGAAAGACGTGCGCGAGCTCGTAGTCGGCCGTATTCGAAACACTCCGGAGCCCGAAGAGGAGGATAACGACTCGTCTGTGCTCTCGTTGGGCTTGTTCCCAGGCGAGTACCTCGAAGTTCCCGGCGACGATCGGTGTATGTTCAGATTCGAGGCGGCATGGGACAGCTCGCTTCACAATTCAACTCTGCTCAATCGCGTCACTGCTTATGGAGAACAGATCTTTATGACTATCTCCGCGTATCTCGAGGTATGTATACTTCATTTTGAGAGAGAAACATTTTAAGGCAATTAATCTTATCTTTTCGTTGCGTGATGATCTCAGTTGGAGAACTGTGGAAGACCCGCGATTATCACAAAAGATCTCAGTATGATTATCTACGGAAGGGACGCGAGAGTTGGGCCACGCTCACTGAAACACCTGTTCAGCGGCAGCTATCGCAACCAAGAGGCGAATCGACTCAGCGGCGTCTACGAGCTAGTTCTGCGTCGTTCTTCGGAAGCAGGTAGCCCAGGTTTGTTATGTCTAACCATAGTGTAGTCCCATGTTCACTCGCTTGATATCACCTCAAAGTGGAATCAAAGTGGAGTTCTGTATGAAACTTTACGTCAATTTATGTTATCTCCATGCAGTACTCTTGTATTTTTACTTCAATATAACTAAACATATTTTTCAGATATATCTTTTTAATGATTACTTGTTGCATTAAATTAAGAACTTCCTTTTCATATAGAGATATAACATTGCATTGTCGCAAAGTTAAAATAATTATAGCTTCATCCTCTAATATAAAAGGGAAATTTTTGTTTTGTAAGTACGGTGGATATAGTTTTACATTTACTTACATTTTTGACTCTTTCCTTCTTCTCGACCCTGTTTTCCCTCTTCCGCTCCCCATTTATTTACAGGAGTTCAAAGACGTCAACGTCGCGTCTTGGATACCAGTTCCACGTATGTCAGAGGCGAGGAGAACCTGCACGGCTGGAGACCACGAGGGGACAGTCTCATATTCGACCATCAATGGGAGCTTGAAAAATTGACGAGGCTGGAAGAAGTAGAGAGAATGCGACATACACTTTTGTTGAGGGAGAAACTCGGCATCGACAAAGTATCGTTCTGCAATAAACCATTACACGATTTCACGAAAAGCGAGAAGGTAAGGGTATCGTTAGATTAATTTTAATATAAGGCGCAATAATTTTGTATTGAAATATACATAGAGCTACTCACGACGATTATCCGGTGCGCAGGACGTATGTAACATGGTAGCGAAGGCTACGAACGAACCACATGCCAGCCCGGTGAAGCTGAAACGCTCGAACAGTAAAGACATCTACGAGCCTTGGGAGATGACCGAAAGAGAGCGAGAATTGGCAACCAAGTGCATTAAGCTCATTCAAGGCAGAATTCCAAGCAAGGAACCGATACTGCTTTCCGACGTTTCACCCGGAGAAGACACTATAGCCGATATATCCGCCTCTATGATATCCTCAGTCATATCATCTACGTCTCAAGAGTCAGTATACATGCGAGCTAGCGATATCTTAAACCAGGTAACCCTCTCTGCGTGCCTGAGTGCTCCTGCTACAGATAGCGGTTGTCCACGCTTCGCTTTATCGTTATTATCATTCCGTCCCTTTTTAGAATAAGGTAGGCGATGTGGCACCTGAAAGTTGATGAGAGAAAAAGTGTGAGAATGCGCGTTTGACTCGCTTTTTTACCGAGAATAATGCGGCTCTCTAACTTGCTCCAAATTAGTACATTTCTTTTTTCTCAAGCGATGCTAGTTTCTGAGTTATGCTTTCGCACCGGAGATCCGGATCTCTCGATGTTCCAAGACAACCGCCAGCACAATTGGCTCGCTGTCAGGGTTATGCTGGAGTGTTACTTGCAGGCTGCTGGTATAGTAGTATGGAGCAGGACTAAGTCGTGCCTCCTTAGGTTGAGCTCGCCGGAGAGGGCTAGACTGCAAGAGCTCCAGGAGAGTATATTGGCAAGCGAGTCGGCCAATCAAACCTGCACGGTCGTACCGCCGCCGCTCGGGTCGTCCTCGCCGTCGAAGGAGAACTTGGTACTCTATGTGCCGGAAGTAGAGGAGATACGTATCAGCCCGGTGATCGCGCGAAAGGGTTACTTGAATGTCCTCGAGCACAAGACCAATGGATGGAAGAAACGTTGGGTGGTATGTTGTCAGCGTTAGATTCAGTGATAGACCAATAAAAAGTTGTTGGACAGGATCTGTCAATATTTTTCCGTTGCGTTTTCATCACTTTAGGCTGTGCGCCGACCGTACGTTTTGATTTTCCGAGAGGAGAAGGATCCCGTTGAGAGAGCACTTATCAATTTAGCCACCGCTCAAGTTGAATATTCCGAGGATCAGCTGGCTATGGTGAAAGTGCCGAATACATTCAGGTGAGTTACTCGTGAATGAAAAAGCAAGTAGACACGTGCGCGTATACTGAAATATCTATCCTGTGTAGCGTCGTCACCAAGCATCGAGGCTACTTGCTGCAGACTTTAGGCGACAAGGAGGTCTACGATTGGTTGTACGCCATCAATCCTCTCCTAGCTGGACAAATCAGGCATGTATAATATTGTATAAATGTCTTTTTCTTATCTCTCTCACTCTCTCGTCCGTCGAGCGTGTCGTCAGTCTCAGGGCCGTCAACAAGACCCGCGGGACTTTCCCTAATTTGTTAAACTAGTATACATTATTTTTATATCATATTATATGTATTTCTCTACTACGTTATCAAAATATATTTTTAAAATTACTAGAAAACTAGTTTCAATAAGAAATTTTTAGAAATTAAAGCGGGTCCTGCAGATCTTGTTAAATTGACGGGTTTGAAACTAAGCGCTAATCGTGCGAGGTTTGACGGACGAGTGAGTAAGGTGAGATGAAGAAAGTAGGCGTAGTTCTCGAAATTAACGCAAGTTAATTTGGAAAATGCAAGTAATTTCAAGCACTAATAAAAATCATGAAGACGGTAAACAGAACGATTCGATATGCTGCAGGTCGAAACTCGCGCGTAAAGGACCGACCGCCCCGAATCTGAACAGTGTCGCACCCATCAGGTTGACACCGCCGTTGGAGCAACAGACCGGCCAGACTAAGTGAGTGGTCGACACTGTGGGGTAACGAGTGCAATAGCGAAAGCGTCGGAGAGGATGCTATTTTGGTCACACTCGGCCCTAGAGTCCCAGAACTTGTGCAACTTTCGATTCCCAATAGTCTTTGATTGATGGAATCGAGGCGAGGCTCTCTCTCTTTCTCGCGTGACTACCCGCGATCGACAACGGCAGCGGCACATAATATCGACGTTTAACTTTACACAGTGTCCTCTTAGCACGTTCTTAGGGCAGCCATGGCGGAGGAGAGAGAGGAAACGAGAGTGATGCTCGTCTTTCGAAGAAGTTACAAATGCGCGTATAAAATGCGTTCGCACTTACATTACATACACATACACACACTGGCAAACACTAGTTTGGTTTTTCGCGTCTCTCCGTACACTTCGAACTCGTATTCGAAGTGCTCCCCACGTTGACGAGACGATTCAATGCGCGTTCGCGAACGCTTTCGCGAACGTTTTCATTGATTTCCATATGATGCATTAATGTAACTACATGGTACATAAATACACAACACACCCCTCACCCTCATGCACGCGACTTGCGTGAGGATTAAAAACGCATTTATGCCTAATAAACATATTCCTAAGACGATCACTGAAAAAAAGACGGAGTAAGGAATACATATAATAGATATATATTGTAGGAGAAGTATGTGAGAGGAAGCGAGAAAGAGAGGGAGAGAAACAGAAATAATATAAAGAGAAAGCGAGAACATAAAACAAAGAGAGAGAAGACAAAGTTAGAGGCAAGAAAATGTTCATAATTTCATATGCATGCTTGACGCGTAGAACTCGACTTTCGGAGCACAGAAAAGAAAAAGAAACGTTAGTATTTTGTAAGATGAGTTTTGAGCGAGTCGTTCAAGTGCAGATGTGTTTGAAACAGTATTCTGGCAAAGTATTCTAGTAATGCGACGGTTATTTAAGACAGATTAATTTTCTATTAGGGTACATTTGTGTTTTCCGTTCGTCGATTGTTTTCTCTCATTTGCTCGAGTAAAAACAAATTTCTTTCACGAAAGAATGTTCTGCCGTTGTACACGTAATCGATCGATAATGACGAGAATCTCATCTTAACTTTGCGTCGGAAACGAGAACAAGTTCGAACGCTATTTGCTTCGCGAAAAATAACGTACGAATTAATGAGAGGAAAATATGTCGTTGACGTGGAAATATATACGGTTTATATATATATTTTTTAATGTAAATCAAGATTCTCTTTCATTGCGCATCGCATATGCATTCAGCGCACTGTTATCCTCTCTAGAGTAATTTCACCTTGTCTTAAGACATACGAAAGAGTCTCTGCATATTCTTGAATATTTTACGACTTATAGTTTCATGTAAATCGATCGAGGAGCTTATAAGATAAAGGAGTACAAGTAGTGAATCTCATAGTGAATCCCCAGAAACAGACAAAGTGCATAAATCACAAGTGGACGCTTGTGACTATTTGTTTTTAAGAGGAACCTCTATTGAAATAGAAAAAAAAATTATATTCTCAGTACAGGGATAAATAGGAAAAGGTTATATATATCACTGCGAACTTCTTCGAAATACGAAAAAGTACGTGAAGTTAGCAAGCGAATCGAGACAACTAAGAAAATTTCCATTTGCTCGAGGCTCACCTTGAGACGTGATGTTGCGACGAGAGCTTCCAATTGGAGCTCTCTCTATATTTCGTATACTTCGCTATCATCGTGCAATGTGATGGGATAAATTTTTGCGCTGATTGCGTGGTGATAGAAAGTCACGCGGTGTTTTCATGTCTAACTTTAGAATATAAGCATCGTTCTACGGAAGTGTCATGAGCGCGGCGTATCACTCTCGAGCGTGATTTCGCGATGCAAAATGCGTACGCAAATCAGACGAGCGTGATCGATGATAACAAGTCTAACGGAGAATCGATACGGTCGCATCTCCCGTTGTTTCCTATTTTCCAAAGATCCCGTAGCACGCATCGGCTACGGGGAAGCTCGGTCAAGCAGCGGCCGTCGATGATGTCTTCGTGAGATAATGGAGACGTAGTCGACTGCGTTGTTCCAAGGCTTTTAATAACTTCTCTCTTACGTGTAATTTGGGTAACAGGTATACAGCGTTATGAATACATGTGTCTATTACGCACCTCACGTGGAACTTTGATATTTCATTAATGAGATGGAACGCGTGCGCGCGCGAGAGTTCCTGAGGGCGAGATATTTCTCTTTGAGAAGGGACCCTCGACATGTACATGGAAAAAACAACTTCGTTAGTGTAATTAAATTTTCTGTTACTTGAGGGCCAAACGAAAACTCGGTTATAGGAACAGTAAGGTTCCTATAGAAGATTTCTATTCAGCCAAATGTTCTTAGTTATCTCAGCCGAGTTTGAACGCAGCTGAATGTTTAGGCGAATGTTTTTTCGCCGGCGAGCTTTTCGTCTGGTCCCCATTCCGTTACACGAAATATTTGTTCCGTGTACGGTATTATGTATTGCGCGATAATATCTTGCGACGTTCAGCGTTATATAAGAACTAACGTCTCACGCACATATTTGATGCAGCAAAATCACCGATTTATTCGAATCCACCCCATACAAGTCAAGTACAATCAAAGGTACGTGTATGTGTACATCATGCGTCTTTTGTAATCGTGTCGAGCTCTTCTTTTACGCTTCTGTCGCGCGCGCTGTCATGTTAGAATTCCGACGCGAGTAGGAACTTGATTCTCGGCGGAACCATATTCGCGCCATTATTTATTTCGATTGAGCGCGTAATCTTCTCAGTTAACGTTCCGACGAGGGATTCGATGATGAGTGAATGTTGTCAAGTATTTCGCTTTCGAACGCAACGAAGGCAATGGTCTATCGATTTCGTGTACTCCGATACTTCGCGAGAAGGGCAGGATCCCGTTCTGGCTACGACTATGACGGAAGACAATTGTGTGGACCTTAACTTAAATCTTATTCTAGTCGCAAAAGTGTTCCCCTGCGCGTAATCAATTCTTCGAGGCCGGTTGTTATTATTATTTTCTCTTTTTTCCGAGATCGTAAGACGATGGCTTTATTACGCGAACATAACGTGATTACCCACCTCTGTTATCGTTTTTGCTTGCTGACTGTTGTAGTATTTAAAATAGTTTTATTTTGTTAAACGATCACCGCGTAATATATTAAAAGTAAGCGCGTAAGTACGATATAAGTTGAACCTAGACTTTTTATCGAATATGCCGAGAAGCGTGAAAAGAACGGAAAAGAAAGGGCGAAAAGAAGAAAGAAAGATGAAAGCGCAGAAATGCATATTACGAAGGGAGTTACGTCGCATTTAAAGTCGTTGCAGAGATTAATAATCATTGTTATTATTAGACGATATATAGAGGAGTAAAGAGAGAGAGAGAGAGAGAGCGGTCGATATGGCGAGAGTGGTGTGTATGTGTGTGAATGAGAGGACTGAGAGACTGAGAGAACGAAAGAAAGAGAGCAGCAGGACACAAGTGGAAAGAAGAGTGTGCAAATGTATGAAAGGACAAGCGTGCGAAAGAGTGCGAAAGAATACGTTCGCTTATATATACATATATATGTATGCATATACACGCAAGATGAGGTTTTAGAAACTTAAACAGGAATTTCCCTTGTGGTTGACGATAGAAAGAAAAAAAAAACGATGAAGGAAAAATTGTTAGAGGAGACGCGTGATGAAATTCCACCTTTTTATCACGTCTTTCTTTTCTGTAAAACGGGTACAATATAGCACACAATATATAATTGTACCTTTTTCCGAAATAGAAATCAGAAAAATGCTCCTCAATTTTTTTCTTATTAGTTAATATATATATCGTCAGAGCCGAGAGAGATATTCCTAGTTTAAATCGTAGAATCATTCTGCAACGTATGTATATGTACACATATATATAGATATAGATACATATACATATATACATATATAATACAAAGTAAATTATATAAATATATAAATAAATTTAATGTTATATAAAATTTAAGCGTTTCGTGAAACGTTGAGGAGCCGTTATCATCGTCGCAGAGTAAACGAGAGCAGGCTAACGATGATACGATCTGTACCAAGTATGTAAGTTCATGTACTTGTTTGTAAGGTAACTAAACATTCAATACAAAATGTTTCCGTTTGATCGTTTGCTATGGGAACGTGCATCGATGCTGTAACTAGTATTTATTATAAATATATTATGATTACTCTCTCTCGAATTTCGCTAGGCTCACTGTAAGTGGTAACGTGTAATAAATCGGTCAATAAAAAGCTTATGTGCTTAATAAATCCTCTTCACAGTAATGCTTGCACATTAATAAACATCTGGTCAGCCACTTGGCCATCATTCGACACTTTTATATATTTATTTATTATATATCGTTACTTTTTATTCATAGTACAGTCTGTTGGATTTTATCTATTTAAAAATTAAAGTAGTATGACCATAATATTTAACATTTATATTAATTAACAATAACTGTTAATGGCACAAACATACAAATATAAATATTTATTATTAATAGTACAGTAACTAGTCAAGCGGAATAATTACAAAATTATATACATATATTAAATATTAAATATATATCATATATTAAATTAAATATAATCAAATTAACATGCTCTAATATATATTGCTCTATAAGCACAACCATAAAATTCTCTAAATATTCATTTCATATATATGTGTATATACAATGCAATAATCATCTTATATAACATATGAATGTAATCACTGTGACAATGAAACATAAATTATTTAAATAATATAAAAATAGAAAGTAATGATATAATAGCTGTCTTAAAAATATTACTTCTCGCGTTTAATCTATCAGTGTCTATACAGTCTCTAGAATGGATGTGTAATAGGACAGCAGATTTTTTTGTAAGCAATAATGACCTCTCGCGAAACAGTCTTTTTATATTGAAATGGCGGTGGCTCTGACAGCAGCGCTCAATACAGGATTCGGGTCTGGCTCTTCCGTCAACATGTTAACTTTGGCCCACTCACGCTGCCGGTTACTTTGGCGCAGCGCATCGATAACAGCTTGTACATAGAGGCCATCATCAAACGTAGATGCGGAAAACACCGGCTCCTTGATCCAACCCTTCTTGTCCTCCACAGATTGAAAAGCCTCTCTCAGCGCTGCTATCATTTTCCTGAGCCCTTTGATGTACGGTCTCGGAATAGAGTCAGCGATCGGTATGGTTATTCCTTGCAGATCATCATTGTCGCGATAAAGAACCTCCTCTTGTCCTGCACGACAACCATATAAATCGCTGCTACGCACGACCATATGATTTCCGCCGCCGCATATTAACACCTCTTGAGAAAGCTGCCCTTGCAAATGATTGCTCAGAGTAGCCGTTACCAAGGTGCCGCCGCTCAACTCCATCTGAAAGCTACAGAAATCTGGCGACGTGACGTGCCTAATTCCGTTGATATACTTGGTTGTTTGAGTGAAAGTTTTCACAACGGCGTGCACTCTCGTCGCCCGTTGACCTGTTAGATGAGAAATTAAATCTATAACGTGACTGCCTACTAGCGCGAGAATTCCTCCACCCATTGTGTCATCGCACAGCCAATCGTATCCTGAAAAGGATAAAACAAATATTTCAGACTTCAAGCAAATGTTTGACTCTTATTTTATTTTAAAGAAACAAGCTAATCAAGCTGTACAAAGTTTTAATATATATCCCTTTAATCCCTGGAATTCTTCCAGTACTACAAGATTAAACATTATACTTTATTAGTCTATGCTTACCATTGTGCAACAAACTTCCCATATGTACTCTTACTTCTATAACTGTAACTGGTCCACCCAGATATCCATCTTCCAGTGCCTTTTTCATATGCACAAAAGTTGGCAAGAATCTCAGACTGTGATTGACTATGCTGATCAGCGAAGGATAATACTGTGCAGCCCGTACCATCTTCAAGGCCTCGCTTTGACTCAAGCCTGCAGGCTTGTCGCATACAACGTGTTTCCCTATACCCAAGGCTTTCACAGCGATCTGTGAATGCAAGCTGGGAGAGCACATTATAAAGATCAAATCCACGTCTTTTCTAAGGAGAACGTCGTCTATTCCACTGGTATGGAACGGTATCTCCAGATCTCTCGCCACTTCTGATACCTCCGCCAAAGTGCGACCCCATATAGCTTCAATTCTGAAGCCCTTTTCTCGCAAGAATGGTATAATGATCCTCACGATGCTTCCCGTGCCGAAAACTCCGATGCCAGGTAACGTCATTTCGAGTATGTGAAGTTGTTTAACGTTTGCCTCTCAGAATATCTCACCGGATTTAACCTAGTCTTTCCGAAAATTTTCCAAGTAAATAAAAGATCTTTTGTGAGCAATTTACCTCCACTTTGACTTGTGTTCAATTCTATTTTTCCTATTTCGAAAATATAATTCGACGACATATATTAGTATTATATTAGAATTACGATATTTGTTTATGACAGCAGAGATAACAACGGCAATTCGCGCGCGTCGAAACACATGGCGAAAAACACAACTAGCGATGAGCGATATCGAATGAAAAAAAGGACAAAAGACAATTAGAATTCAAGTTGGTTGTTAGTTCACCGTTTCTGCTTTTCTGTTAGAGCTTCTCCTTAAGCTAACTATGGAATTATCCGTTGATTTCGTTTATTGTTCAATATAAAGAAAACGAGCATCTAACCAACTATTAAATCTATCATTACCTCAATTGTTCTATCACTTAAATCTATCACTACCTCATCGGTCGATGTGTGTACGGTGGCGGCTCGTAGCGGAGACTTCGGAACTAAAAGTCGACAAAAATAACGAGTCTAATAATACCTTAGACCCGTTATTTCTGTCGACTTTTAGTTCCGAAGTTTCCGCTACGAGTCGCCACCGTAACATCGACCGTATAAGGTAATGATAGATTTAAGTGATAGAACAATTGAGGTAGTGATAGATTTAACAGTAGGTCAGATGCACGTTTTCTTTATATTGAACAATAAACGGAATTAACGGACAATATATTAGCTTAATTTAAAAAGTTATAATAGTTGTTCAACAAAATAACAAGAGTAATTAATCGTAAGAAAGTAACATGCTTTTGAAATTGACAGATCTTTTTTATCGACCATCTTTGGTAGCTTATCGATAGGATCTGGAAGCATGTACCAATCCAGTCCTCGAGTCAGTAATCATCCATTAATCGCTTTGTTCAGCTGAGTGCAATGTGTCAAAACAAAAATGATTTGATAAACGAATAAATTCTATTAATATTAAGTATTGCTTAACATCGAAAACATGCAGGATTTGTACTATTTTAGTATCACAGTGTCAGCAATTATTGTGTTACTTGCTACATTTATCTTGGTTGTATTTCAAAGGTAAATGCTATACACTTATCAGTAACAAAATTATCTATATATACGTTAAATTACAATGGCAATATTTTTTTAACAGTATCGCTTGGGTAATCATTGTGGCCAGTATTTATGGAATTGCTAGTTTTTATACTGTACAGTTATTGCAAGTCATCGACAGTTTACTAACGAAATTTAATATCACAAGTAACAAATTTATTACACAAAACGAAGTCAAGGATCTGTGCAGTGTTTGTAGTAATGTCTGCAAGAGGCATAAGTTATTGCCACATTCAACAAAGGTCAAAGTACCAAAAGATTTTGATGATGCTTTAGAAAAGGTAACTATTTTTTTTTTGCATAATTTGCACTATTTTATTTTGATAATGATATATATAAAAACATGTTATCTTGTTGCAGCTTCTGGAGGAAATACTGCAAATTTATGTCTGCACATGGTATTCAGATTTTTCAGCGAATGAAGCTTTTATACAACAGCTGCGTTTAGCTATAACGACAGCAGCAAAGAATATCGCTGGTAGATTGTTACGTGCAGACACAGCGACCATCATCTTCCATGACTTGATACCCTTGGCCATACAACATGCCCGGGATTGGAATATACTCAACAAAAAGTCCAAGTCTGAAGTTAGGATGCCTCAGGATTATATTGGAAGTTATCTAGGTTCTAAGATTCATCCAGCTGCTTACTCAAGAAAGGCTGAATTGAATTACCTGCGGGGATTAGTCACCGCACTCTTGCCACATTTATTGCCTGCCATACATGTTTCAACGAATAACCAAGTAATGTTTCAGAATTCATTCCAGTTTTGTATGTATGAATTATTTAGGATATTTAACTGGCTATTTGTACATCTCTTCTATGTGTATTTCCAGATAATATTACGCGAGATTTTGTCAAATTGGGTGCTGTTGCCAGCGATTGATGCACTCGCGGATCCAGAAAATATAAATATGTTGGTGACATTATCCACTCATCGTGACACTTCTCTGTCAGATGCTGCAGAAACTATCAATGTACCAATGTTGCAATCTTGGGTCACAGTTCCAGCAGTGCATCCACACATCGCGCAGAACTACTTCAAGCAATCTTTGGACGAAGTCTTGAACAATCCTGAATTATTGTACATGTTTATGCAGCATATTAAAGAAACGGGACCTATGAATCTTCTTCAGTTTTGCTTAGATATTGGTAGGTACAAATTCTGTACATGATAATTTTTCGGGTAATAATTGTGTGCAAATCATATCGCGCGTTTCCAGACGATCTTAGCAAGCGTATGTTAAATCCGGAAATGTCGACTAACGCTGAGGAGAATTTGTATATAGACGTTCAAACTATGTATACGGTATATCTTGATCCTGATGGTCCTGAATACCTGTATTTACCATTGCATATATCGAAAGGCATACAACAGAGTAAGCGAATCGCGAATAGATAACAATTTAGCGCGAAATGGTTGTAAATGTTATCAAATACATATTTCTTTTCTAGTACTCGAAGGTGGGCCAGAGAAAATTCAAGAATTACGGACTTCGCGACCTTTTTATCAAGCTCATCAAGAAGCACATGCACTTTTAGAGAGCACCTGTTTACCATCATTCCATCATAGCTACGAAGTAAAAATATTTAGTGATTTTTGTTCTTAATACAGAATTAATATTTGATATTCGAGGCATCTATTATCAAATGTTAACAAAGAAATTCTACATATTCTAATGCAACTTTATCGTATTTCAGTTATATAAGTACTTGTGCGGTCACTTAGTATCTGAACAGGCAAAGGCTATTGCAACTAAGTAAGTATATTTTCAAACAGATCTGTATTTTCACAGTCATATAGACATGTATAAATATTTAGGGAAATTTAATTAAATTTATAATTATAATAATCATATACGTATTCGCTCTCTTCAGTGCAAGCGGAAGTGCATGTACTCCCATACGATTCACCAATCAACTCGGTAAAATCGATGGCGTTCTACGCACATCGGCGTTGGACGGCGCTCCTTTTCAATTGCAAGACGCATATCCGGTGGAAGAAGTGGATTGCACGGCCCGAGCATACAACGAGATTAAAGGTTTCGGCGACAAGAGCCACCGCGACTTGACGACCTGGCGAGTCGCCATCCCACACGTAGACGGTGGGGGCACGCAGCCGGTATACATGATTGCGATTCATAGCGTAGCAAAGGCTAAATCGTGGACGGTTCTTCGGCAAGATCAAGATTTCTACACGCTGCGAACGCGACTCACCGAGTTTCACGGTGACAAGGAGTTAAACGACTCGCCGTTGCCGTCGCGTAAAAACCCCCACTCGTCTCTCACGACCAACCGTCAGCGTTACGAGGAGTTTCTGCAGAAGTTGCTGTCCAAACCGATGCTGCGAAGCAGTGAGCTCCTCTACACTTTTCTCACGACTCCTAATTTGAAGCCATACTACGCTAACTACAGCACACCCGACATCGGCATTCTCTATCAGAGTATGGCTTACAAATTACGTAAGGAGAAGGGACAGCACCTCGACAAGTTCATGAGCACTTTTCTGGCGTCCACAAACACAAAGTACGAGCACATGGATATGGGCGTCGAGCCGTCGAGTGAGCACAATCTCAACGATGCGGAGAACAGGGATAGGAAACTGTTGGACAGCGTGTTTGGCAATAATCTGAATTTACCTGTTGCTTTCCAGAATTTCCCGTGCAGCCTGTCGCAGCGCGATCACGTGAAAGGCGCCAGCTTGTGCATTGTAGAAGCTGGTAAGCTCAATAGGATATCTTACATGTCTATATGTTGATGCTGAAAATTTCATATTGACTATGTATTATTACAGTCGATGGTCTACTGAATATACTTCCGGTAATTTCGCAACTCTTCTGGATATTCGGTTCATTATCGCGTAAAAGGGTGGATCCTGTGGTGAACACACTGTTCTACAACATGCTGGTAAAACTTCTGAGCGGCGGTCGCGCTGCTATCGTCGTCAAGCTCCTGCATGCGAAGATAGTCGACGACAAAAGTTACATGAAAGATTTCTCCTCGCAAGGGAGAGATTATTACGATATTGCCAAGGAGGGATTGCATTCTTTGTTACCGTGGTGGCTGATGGAGTTCTGCAAGCCATGGAACAAGCTGATGGATTCTCTGTTGGATCCTTTACAGAACGCACCGTTCAACAAGCATCTGGCGTATTTCCTGCTGGATCATCTCTTGGTAAATCTATTTCCGGAACTAACAACGTAGCGTACTTGAATTGTAAAAAAAATCAGTTGTACATATTCTCTCAAAGCGACTTGCATATGTAGATATTTAATTTTGTGCGTATGTAATATTAATTTACTTGGTAAATAAAAGTTCCTATTGAGTTAGAATGTCTTATTACGATGAACAATTTTCGTGTTAGCTGCGAAACCGCGAGTGGCTTTTAGTCGATAGAATCGCTAATCGATTCGCGATCGAATCGATAAGATCACTCGTTTTCTTATAGATGGCGGAGTAGTTCCTTCATTATCGATATAGGCTGGATAACCGACAACAGTTTTTATTTCAAATCTGCGCTTATAATCTGCGGAAATATTTTCGCCGTTTCCGTGTCCAATTCTATGTTGTCTTCGAAATGAACCCAACAGTTAAGTGTTAAGTAAACAGGACCGTTCGACTTTCAATGTTAAACTTATTTTTACTCGTTTTAGGATAGTAAAACAATTCGATAAACATAACCCATTCGCCAACTTCCGTGTAAATAATGGCCGAAACTCGCCAACTGTTTACGAAATTCATCAACGTAAATCAGGATGCGTTATCAGCAAGAGGATGCGTTATCAGCATTCAACAAGAGTAAGGACGTTAAAGATGAATAGAACGAGATAAAATCGAGAACCACGCAGGCGGGTGAGTGAAAAGCGGAGCGACGAAAGGGAGGAGAATCGGCAGTGGCAGACTGGCTAGTGAAGCTAGTCCAAGAATGGGAGGAGAACGAGCGAGGGGCACGACGACGTGTTCCACGGAAGAAACAAGGACGAGCGACGTTGCACAGGAGCGTCGTCGTAGCGATGCGAAAAACGCGTCGTTCCCGAAGGCGGGGAAGGGAGCGGTTTGCATAGTCGTTTTCAGGAAATCGGCACCTTTTCGCTACCTTCCTGTCCGGCATCACACGAGACATTGGGTATGTCGCTGATCATCTCGCAAAAAAGAATAACAGACGAGAAACTTAGCGAAAACGGCGGATCGAGCGCGCGAAGCGCGTCGCTCCTGAAGTCGGCTGTTCGCGGAGAGGGGGACGCGCGGTAGAAAAGGAAGGGCCAGTGGAACGGAGCGCGCTGGATCGGGGTCCGAGAGCACATACGTTCGACGCGGCCTTGCCCAGAGCTCCTCTCGCGATAGTTCTCCGTTCAATCTCGGCTGTGCGTTATCCACCGAACGTGGGAGATCGGGAGAGTAGTAGTCGTCGCGATTACTCGCCGTGGAACTTGGCGACACGCAGTCTTCATCGATATCTCTCGTGCCGCCCGTGTAATCGTCGCTCTTCCTTATCCACGAGAACGAGAAGAGGGTGCTAACCGGGAACGAGCCGTCAACAACGTTGGAGGAAGGAAAAGGACAGCGGCGACAGTAGCAGGGAGGAGGAATATCCGTGCATACGTGCGCATCGGCGTGGAACTTGGCGGGGCCGGATTCCGTGTGCCCTGTGCGTGCGCGTTCGTGCGTCGTGCGTGCGTACGTACGCGCGTCGTGCGTGCGTGCGTGCGCGCGCGCGCGCGAGGACCTGTTGATAGGTTGCGCGCAGGTGTACGAAGAAGGTCCCTATCTCCCCTCTCTCCCTGCCTGCACCCGTCAGCCGTCAACAACGACTACTACTACTACTACTACTACTACTACTACGACGACGACGACGACGACGACGACGGCGACGACTGCGAGAAGACACACACCTGGTTCACAGAACTCTGACCGCCTGCTGATCGCTGGAGCGGTGTGCCTCTCCGATCGATCTCATTGGGTCCAGATGCCGCGGCTCACGAGGCCGTATATGGTATCGTGAGGAAAAGAACGTATCTACGAAGGAGAGTAGCGTAACAGTCGTCGCAGGACGAAAAGCATCGCCGTCGCAACCGTCGTCTTGGTCGCTACCTCCTCGTTTCCCTCCTCGAGTGCCCCTGCCCGTTCCTTCTCCTTTTTCTTCCCGCCTCCCCCTCCCTTTATTCCCGTATTCCACCTCCTTGATCGCGCGCGAGCAGACCGGCCGTCGCTGGACACCGGAGAGTGCCCTCCTGGTTTTTGCGTTGTGGACCGTGCGCGCGCGCGCGCGCGTGCGAGAGTGGTGCCAGTGTGAGGTTACGCGTGGTACAGTCGTGGGGCACCGTTGAGATGCCGTGGCTGCTCGAACTACGGACTCGTGATTAGTTAGGTGAGCAAGGATTCTTGTCTTTTCTCTTTCTCTCTCTCTCTCTCTCTCTCTCTCCCCCCCTCCCTCCCTCTATATCTATCTATCTATTTGCCTCTCCCTCTCTGTTTATGAGCGTTTCTCTCCGTCCTGATCCCCGCGTATCTCTCTCTCTCTCTCTCTCTTTCTCTGCATCTCGCTCTCTCTTGTTTTTTTTTATTTCCCAATATCTGTCCATCTCTCTCTTTCTTTCTTTCCGCTCCGCGAGGCGCGCGAGTGCGCCGCGAGATTCCTTCTTCTATTTCCTTTCTTTCCAATTGGCGTCCCACCGCTCTACTCTCCGACCCACTTCTTCCTCAACCTCAACCGCCGTTCGCGCTCATTGTCGCCGTCGCTGCCGTTTGCCGTCGCCTGGCCCGATTATTTTAGACGATGACGTGCCTACGCTGTATGTGACTCTCTCGCGCGCGCTTCGGAGCACACACCGCGCGCGCCGCTCCGCGCCGACCTTATCCTTGTATATTCCAGCGCGCCGCATTCCAGCGGCGCGCTCGGTAGCGGCATGCGCGCGCGCTAGCGAGCGAGCGAACGCGCGAACGCCAATGCAAATCCGTCCATCTCCGCCCGCCCGCGTCGCGGATGCTGTTTCCAGGTGGAGGAGCGCGACGCGGAGAGCGCCTAGTTGTTTACGCATCGTCGACGACGTGTGTTCGCCATCGCCGTCGATGACTCGTGGTCGCGCAACTGCGAGTACTTTCCTACGTTGAGAGCACATTGCCCATCAACGAGCCAGCCGTGTCCGCAGCTCGCGGTGCTCGCTCGCTCGCTCGGTGGTCGTGCCAACCGCGCGGGTGGTCCCACGAGAACGTTCATAAGCTCGGGATATATTTTCCCCGTCGAGAGCTCGCGCTGAGAACAGCATACCTGACCGGAGGTCAGGCCGTTATCTATCGTCGACGACGAGGGTCGACGACGAAATGGGCGACCAAGGCGCGTTAAAGGCACCTTCTGCAAACGCGCCCACACGATAATGCACCGCAAGGAATGCAAGCGTGACGAGCCTTTTTCCGCGCGAATGCGTCCATCGGTAAATTCATTGTCCTTGAAAAAACAAGTTGGTCGCGCTACGAGAGAGGCGTTGGAAGAAAGGATCTGGATATTATTACTTAACGCGCAACGAGAGTCTCGCTCTCTCGGGTGCTCGCGCGTTCCCGCTGCCGCCGTGCCACCGCCGCCGCCGCCGCCGCCGCCGCCGCCGCCACCGCCGCTGTCGCCGCGCGGTCCCGAGAGAGCCAACGCGCGCGCGAGAGGCGGCGGCGGCGGCGGTAGCAGACAGCTTGGCTCTGCCTTGGTCCCACCAACCTTTCTGCCCCGTCTCTCTGCTCCTTCGTACTGCCAGGGCCGCACGAGAGGTCCGCGCGCGAGCCCTCGTGTGTCGCGGATGAGCCGGAGCGTTGCAAACCGCCATATTGTATCCCGCTGTCATCCCTCCGCTGAAACACGCGAGAGGAAGGACACGTAATCGGACTTTAATGAATCTTTTTGATCTCCGCGGTCGTTAATTCACCTCGTCAACTGATTACCCTGACTAACAACGCGTGATGATGCTTTTCAGCGGATGAATGGCGGTACGGTGCTTGCGAAGAGGGAGAGAACGAAGATGTAGGCCGAAGTCATCCTAATTGCTCCCCGCCTTCTTCTTGTCCTTGCTTTGTGACTTATCTGACTAGTGGCAATAAGGTAATTATTGCACAGATGGCAATCTTTTCATGCACATCATTCGGAAATCGGATCACGCGCGTTCCTGGAATTCCAGGTAACATAGAACATCTTAACATTATCTTGAATGTACTCAAGACGTTCTAAGATATTCCCCAGGAATGAATATCTTAGGAGGCCTTAGACTCGTACAGGACGATTCTTGGATGTTTTGCGTTGTCTGAGATAGTTGACGAAAAGATAACTAATGGAAAATTTTCAGAACGGAATACCACGTATTCTTCAAATACCTGCCAAAAATTCTGTCGGGAAAAGAAGCGAAGGCTGAGCGAGGAAGATAATTTGATACATATACCAAGTTCAACGTGGTGCGGAAGAAAGCACCAGCGCATAGAGCACGCGTGCGATGTTTCTCGGAACAGAATTATTAGAATTAATTAACTCGCGCGTATAGCATCGGCATTAATGGGAATACCGAGAACTCGTCCCGCGACGTTGTCATGCGTTCGTTTTATAGAACCGACAGAAGGAAAAGACGCGTGTTCAATTATAAGGAGTGCTATTTTGTCAATAATGTATCCCTGTGCGTTCCGGTGCATTCATTAATTATGCATTATGATTTATTCAAACGGCCACGCGCATTCTCTATCCGATCTATAAAGAGCTTCTCTCGTGCTTTTTTATTCACAGATTGATCAGTTTCAATTGAGGATTCCGTAGACCGTAACAGACCGGAAAAAGCAACTACTTCGTTACTTTAGTACTTTCTTCTGTGATACAAAGAGAGAAAACTCACGGAGGTAACGTCCCAAAGTTTGACTTTACGCCAGTATAATTCCGCTCGTGTACACGCGTGTTTTATCACCGATTCATGCGATTTTTCCGCGCAATGACTAACATCGTATAATATCCAAGCAGGTCTTCTTTACGTACTGCTTTTCTTCCGTTTCGAGTCTGGCGATCGCGCTGGAATCACGGATTCACGTCGACGTTTGTTTTAGCGTAACGCTAAACAGGAAGGCATTCACCGGGCTTAGCATTTTACACTGAATGAAACCGAGAGTGGAACACATATCCGCTTAATGTCCACCGATAACGGCCGCGAGCGAACGAGCGAGCGAGTCACGACGGCATAAATATTCCGCCTTTGAGAAATACGCGCTGAAAATCGCGGATAAAACCAGTTTCGTCCGCCGCGGACGGAACTCTACCGTTAATGCAACGCAGCAAGTGTGTCATGAGACAACATTGTTCGATCAATTCCGAAATTACACGCCGCAGTCGTAACGGGCTGACGGTTACGCTCCAAATAGCAAAGGCGGGTCGCGTTACGTCGAGGCGTTCCACGCCTCGCGGCCTTTTTAGAAGGTAACTTTGTTGTAAACAAATCTCACACGTTCCGGTGATATATGCGTGTCGGATGTGTGACAAGCGAGAGTTCAAATAACGAAGAAGATAGACCGAGTCGGTCTCACGTCTCGTGATACAGATATAGCTGCCGCGACCGTTATGAACAAACGAACGTATCTCTCTGTCTTTCGTTAATTCGAGTTGTCCGATCAGTCCTTCTTCCGAGAGACTCCGGAGATATTCGTCGAATTACCCTTTATAAGATCGTAAAAAAAGACACTCTATGGTCGGAGAATAAGAGAAAGCGATTACTTTGGGACAGAAGGCTGATTCGACGAATTCCTCCGCATCCATTGGCGGGCCCAGGCACCGAGGACCCGTGGAATTGGGTCCTGGGGGCTTGATATTCCTCGCCTTATGCTGACTCAGGGAAATTATGCGAGTATCGTCGAGCGAAATTTCCGAGAGGATTCGCTGCGCCAACCTTGCTTCAAACGTAAAAGTCGCGAAGGAGTTTAAGGTCACTTAACACGACTGTCATTGCGTTCGTGTCCATGTAAAGTTGATCCGTGTAACGTGTCAATTTACCCGTGTATTACGAATGAAGCAACGAAGGAATCCGACGAACTCACTAGAAATCGGTCTAAGCTGACCGATTACCTGAAAATATCAGTCGAGATAATCTATCTACCTGCCGTAGAACTGTACCTCACGGCTTCGCGTTGGTTATCTCGAGTACAGTGCATCCTTAAGGACTGACTAATGTATCTTTAGAAAAGGTTGCTCAATCTGTGTTCCCTCCAATTCGTCGGGCCAGACCGCATTTCTTTAATGAACTCCTCAGTCTCTGCTCTCAGTCAACCATCGTCCTCCGTAGGTAAAAGGTGCCTTCTTAAGTACCACTCGTGACCCCTACTAGGGACCCACTTAAAACAAAAAAGTGAGGAGTAAGGAATTCGAGTTGTTCACTGTGGAAATTGTGTACTCGTTTATAATAATAATAATAATCACAGTATCTCTCTTGGTGTCGCGAATTCACAAAAAAGAAAATAATTAAGAATAAATAAAAGAAGAGTCCACAAGAGTCAAGCGTTGAAAAATTGTGAGCAAAAATAAGAGGAAGATGTCAGAGTTTCATATATATTATATTAAAGTGAAGCACCCTTATGTTTTGCTTTAATGAAATCTAATTCTCTCTCTCTATTTTAACAATTTTCCAGTACTTGGTTCTTATATGTCCTTCTTTTACCTATTCTTGATCATACAGCCTTTATATAATTTCATTTGGAAATAATTAATTTCAATTAATAAATCTTACACAGACACTAATCGTCTTCAGTGATTTGCGGTATGGCAACGACGAGATTTTATCCGCCAATTTGCGACATTTAAATTTGAATTTTAAAGTCTCTCTTAGTGAAGAAAACGTTTATAAATTTTGTTGAGGAAATCATAAGGATACGAGACATCCGCGACCTCGCGTTTGAATCTTTATTAGGAGTGTTAGAATTCACGAATTCTAGAGTCTCCTCGATACTATAGAATCTAATTTACATGAGATATCAATTCACCGACGTCACGAGAAAAGGAATCTCTTTACACATTTCTCTCGTGTATGCTTTCAGGGAGGTAACGTCAGTGAGTGACGACGTCACGATGCGCATGTCGCCGCTACCGAGTCTAGTGCTCGTGGCAGCAGTCGCGCTGCTAGCAATTGCGAATGCTAACACAGAGACTCTCCTACGCATCGACTCGAACACGACCGTACCGTCGTCATCGTCGTCATTGTCGTCGTCGTTGAATCACATCACGAAGCGCGACCAGGTGATCGCCGGAATAGAGGCCAGTCTGCTCACCTTCCTGGGCCTTTCCAAGAGACCCAAGCCACAAGGATCGACTTATATACCGGAATCACTCAGGAAGCTGTACAACATTCAGAACAGCATCGGCACCGCGGACATCGCGAAGCCGGGCATTCACGCGCGATCGGCCAACGTCGTTCGCTCGTTTTACCATGTCGGTGAGTGGGCTTGTAATTCTGTAGCCGCGCGGTGTCTCGCTTCGAGAGGGAACGCGCGAGGGAACGAGATACCTACGTACGCAATTACCTCAGGAATAAACTCGAGACCTTAGCTGCTCGCGACTTGAGGACGGCCGATGAACGTTACACACGTGCGTTACATACCGCATTCTCGTTCAACGATGTAAAACGCTCCGTTCGCGTCTCTTGGCTCTCCTCGTCTTCGCAACTTGCGTGTATCATTCATGAATCGTAAACTCTTACGACACAGATTATGTAAAAAAGCGTCGAATCACCGATTAATTGGTCGGCAGCGTTGTATCTTGATAGCAAATTTTATTGAATACGATATAGGTAAGATTATACGACAGGGTTAAAAACTCGGGCTGTTCGCTAACATTCTTTGTTTTTTCCTCTTCGGATTTCCGTCATTGATGTATGCTAATATGATGATACGTCGCACTTGAAGAATTAATCGTCGTCGGTATGCGTAAATAGACGCAAGAGGCATTATTATCATCATCATCATTGTACATTCGCGAATTGTGAATCACTGAGCGAGTGTCAACTAGCTCGGGAAGTTGCGAATCGTAATTCGAAAACTGGTTGGCGACTCTTTCGACTCTCAGTGAAAGTGCAGTAGTAGCTGTGTGCCCGTTATCAATCGTCATTCGTTCTACGTAGGCAAACGCAAGTGACAAATTCTCGATCGATCTAACTCAATAACTTCGTACATTTCTCACATATGAACAATGTTCATACGATAACGTCCGCGTAGATGTAGAATCTTGATTGATCGCAAGGCACTCGTAATGAGGATCATTTTACTGTACGATACATAGATTAGTCCTTTTTTCATTCGTGAATTTTGTCAGAATTTCCCGTTCACACAGTAATTTCGGGAAGGCATTAGCCTGCGGATTGCAAGTTTACGTTAAGCATAAGTGATATGATTAACATAATTGACGTAATTGTAGGCATTAAGGTTTATTCCAAGCCGTTGTTGTACAGGAAATTATTCTCTTTTCTGTAAAAGGATCTGCACTCGCATTGTGTACAGCTTGGAGAGTGTGCGACGCTTTTTATTTTTCGTAACGATATCGCTCACTTATTCTTGTTAACGATAAATGTACTCTAGTATTTTTATTTCTATGATATTGGAATAACATATTTTCTGTTTTTCTGAAGAGATACGTATGTATCTTTTTTTCTCTTCGTGTTATTTGAGATATTAGTCCGAGTGTTTTGCTTTCAACACACAGGATTCTATCGTTCTTTTACAAATTTAGAGCATACAGAGAATACGTTGCGTTCGCCCACCGCGTGAAAAGGAAAAGAAAGGCATCCGAACGATTTCATGGTTGTCCAACCGACAAAGGGCCCTCCCTTGGCCGCGCTGATTGCCGAGAACGTGCCGCGCCGGATCCCGAGTGTCCTACGGGGGATCTTAGAACAAAAAGAAGGAGTCACAGCTCCTTACACGCTCCGTCTCTCCCGCGGGGATATTATCGCTCGATGATGAGACCACCTTGGAATTTACCGAAGGAACTCTCAGAGAGCCGCCGCCAGGTACCTCTTGTTCTCTCTTTCTCTCTCTTGTGGGAGGTCCAGCTTCCGTCCCAATGATTCACATCCGGATTGTTAATCTAGACGAGTCGGCGTATTTCGACCGATTGTTCTCGAGACTGAATTCCGTCTCCTCTTCGCTGGACCTCGCGGGTAGGATCGGTATTCGGAGTCGCTGATTCCCTCGGCCGAGAGCACTGTGCAGAAAAGTAGAAGTATACGCGGGGGATGACATAACGTAGGAGAAAGTAGCGAGAGCAATTAAGGAGGATGCGTAATGGAAAGTGACCAGGCATCACGAGCTGAACCTGATGTCTGTCTCATCTCGTCTCGTCTTGTCTCGTCTCGTCTCGTCTCTACAGAGGCATTGTCCCGATAAAAGCACTCATCCTGCTCGGGACGATAGCTGAACGCCCGCCCGCTACGACGCGTTTTAAATTGACGCTTGTACGAAAGAAAAGTAACCGGGAGCGGAGTTGGTTGTTAGATTTCAACGATGTTATTTTGAGTGCCGCGAATGAGGAAAAGAGGAGACATGCGGTGTCTCTTTTGTGTCAACTACGACGCTTTTATTGTCGCAAACAAACCATCGGCGTCGTTTTTGCATGTCCTTGACACGCGAATCTGAACTCGTCGAGATAATACCGGTTTCTCGAACCCCGGAACCTAAAACGATGAGGTGACATCTGACGCAAAATGCGAGTTTGAAGCTTCTCCAAGAGTAGCCGATTCCGGCTGAGATTTCGGTTGAGATTTCGTTGTCTTCTGCATTTGGACATTACAAATGTTGCTGTTTTTAACTATATTTTCAGTAGGATTATTATATGGAGAGAATTTTATAGTAAACTTCATTAGTAGGAGTAAACTCTACTACTTAAGGTTCTGTAACCGAGGAACAGATCCTGCAGTAATTTACTCTATCCTTTCATTTCATATGCTACTTACATTTTAGAGACTGAAATGTACTATTAGAACACTTGGTTATGTTTCTAACGAAATTTGCTATATTTATAACGAAATTTATCATGTTGCTTAGCAAGATAGACCTTACTGACAGTCTTTTCCTTGACTACTAACAACGTAGTAAAATTGAGAAGAATTTATATGAAAAAAAAAAAAACTATAATATTCTTTCCGTGTACAAGCTGTTGTTCGGCACTCTTTGATTGTAAAAATCAATCTCTATGTATTACGATTGATAAGATATATGCCGAAGATTCAACAGAGGAATTCCGACGTATCGCGCTAATCGTGAACATCTACGAATAAAATGCGATGGATGGCACAGCTTGTAAGTGCGTCAGTGGCGAAGAATATGTTAAAAGAACGTGTTCGTGTTTTATTTTGTTTACAAACGGTACACACATCCGACGTTGTCAAGATACTGTCAAGATTACGTGTGCGCGCTATGGTGTAATGGCGAAAGAGCGTGGATGTTGCATAATTTTACATTATCTCGCATTACCGATTAAACTCGAGATATCGACTCTGTCGACCAACACATTTAGCAAGTAAGATTCGCATGAAATCAATCGTATTCAACGAATCATTCGATTCAACGTTTTTCTCCGAAAACGGTGAATTGAAATTAAAGGCGTCACTTCTGCACCCTCCCTTCGAACTCTACGTTGTTCGCTTTACTTCCACGGAAACTGCTAGATTCTGCGAGGCAGATGCATGTAACACGCTCGACGACCGTGTGTGCGCACATGTATGTGTTTAGGAGCGGCCCCGACGCTTAGAGAATTTACATATGTATATAACAACTGCGTTTAACGAGCGCACAATACGCTGCACACAATCCGTTGTTTTCGAGTCGTCCGAGGCACGCGCAACTGCGTCACAAACACACATAAAAACACATACCCATGCACGTTTGTAACGTTATTGGCTATTTTCGTAGAAGCGTAACTTAAATTACGCGCATCGCGCGAAGCATCCGTGTGGGTCACGCGAACGGAAGATTATATTCCGGCGACGCTCCTTATTAACGCGAATGTCGTGAGATAACGCACAAATGCGTCCGGATGGACGCCGGCGCTACGTCAGCAGAAAATTCAGCTGACTCTCTCTCTCTCTCTCTCGCACGCGCGTTCGAGGCAGGTCGAAATTTATTCTAATTTCGGTCTAGGAAAAATAACATGCTCGACAGCTTTACAAGAGGCGCTTAGAAATGAGTTTTGCTTACTTTTTGTTCGCCTCTTAACTGTTTGAAAACTAACAATGTGTGTTTCTCGTTCCGACATTGAGATACCATGAAAATCAATTTTCCGTCTCTTTAAGCGCGCTTTTCTAAAGAACGAGGCGCACCTGTTGCCAATCCGTTAAACCACGGTCCTTTGTCGCAGGTAGAACACCCGAAAAGAGGTTTGCCGCGCGCGCGCGGCCACGTATTGTCCGAAGCGGACCCTCTTTAGGAGCGCGTCTAATCGCTTATTGTCTCCTTTCAGAGAGTAAGGTGGATCAGAAGTTCCAGTCGCCGAACCAATTTCGGCTCGCTTTCGACCTCAGCAAAGTGCCCGACGAGGAAACCCTACAGGCGTCCGAGCTGATCCTGTCGCGCGTCTCAATGTCTGATATCGAGAACAAACATAAACCCGGTCGCGTGCTTGTATACGACATAGTGCGGCCCGGTGTAAAGGGTCAACGGCAGCCGATACTGCGGCTGATCGACAGCAAGGTGATCGATCTGACGAAGAACGCGACGGTGAGCCTGGACGTGCACCCAGCGGTGGTGAGATGGATGCAGAACCACCGCGACAATTACGGTTTGCTGGTGCACGTGACCGGACCGCATGTTCGTAAACGGGAGCATGTGCGATTGAAGCGCGCCGTGGATGAGCATGAGGACGCGTGGTCGATGAACCAGCCGATGCTGTTCGCTTACATGGACGATGGCCGCTATGAGATGGCGTCCGCGCATCAGATAATGGACCGACGGGCCAGACGTGCCGCATTGCGGAAGAATCGGCGGAAGGACGGCCGCGAGAATTGCCGGCGACATCCGCTCTACGTGGACTTCGCGGACGTCGGCTGGAACGACTGGATCGTCGCGCCGCCCGGATACGACGCCTTCTACTGCCACGGTGATTGCCCATTTCCTCTGGCGGACCATCTGAACTCAACGAATCACGCGATCGTTCAGACACTCGTTTACTCGACCAAGCCGACTATGGTGCCAAAGGCTTGTTGCGTACCAACCGCGCTCAGCTCGATATCTATGCTTTACTTGGACGAGGAGAACAAGGTGGTGCTGAAGAACTACCAGGACATGGCAGTTCTTGGGTGCGGTTGCCGCTAGGGGATCTATTTCTTCTTTCCGACGTCTCCGTGATGCCTCTTGGATACCTTGGCGACACGCTCGAGAGTGTCGCTTGTTGCTCGTCGTTCAGCTCGAAAGAGAAATGCGCTCGATGACACGGCGACGCAGCACGCACAAAGGATGAAGAATAAGAAGTACGAGGAAGTACGACGAGATATTTTTCCGCGCGCTCGCGGATTCCCGCGTACTCTCGGACATGTCTCTGTCGTCGCTATTTTTGTTGTGGATGTATCAAATAAAAGAGAAACAGAGTATATATAAAGAAAGTGTATGTCGTTTATACTTAAAAAAAGATAGATGAAGATATAGTGAAACAAAATTATCCACCACAGCGAGAGCAGCGACGAATGTCAAAGTAATTTCTTAGTAAAAGCGATAATCAGATAGATGTAATTGCGGACGGCACGTCTTGCGATTCCGATGGCACTCTGGCGCAATCTTAAATTTCCCTAGAAATTTATTGGCACGTCAAGATTCTTCGATCAGTTTTCGATTCCAACTATAGATGTTATGGTTATTGATACGTAGGTCGCGGTGTAATCAGTAGGACCTGCTCGAGATGACGAGATTAACTTCAACGAAAATGAACGAAAAAGTCTAATAATGCGAGACTTTGTTAACCTCTTCTAATCGTCATCTCGAGTTGAAAATTGCAGCCCGCGACATAATTAGAAGCAGCTTCTGCCGTAGATTATCGTCCGAGCCGATTGAGAACGCGATGATAAGAGCAGTAGCTTACGGTTGGATCCAATTGAGAAAATGACGGTGGGATTAACTCCTATCTAATGAATAGACGACGATCGGCAGGTCTAATTTTGCGAATTAATGTCCGCCCAGTTTACCTCCGCAAAATGTACATCATTCAAATCTCTTTGTGACGCGGAAGACAAGCACGATATGACAGGAGAGGATGAAGGAGGAGAGTGTATGTCACGCTACTACATTCCTCACACTCTTCTTTCACCAGTGATTCTCATATTTCCATACGGAAATGTTCACGTCTACGCGAAGACGACACTCTGGCACTCCTCGTCCTCTTCGAGCACTCGAAATGACTCTACTTCGCTTGAAAAGAAAAGGAACGCTCGACGGCGTCGTTTGCGTTCGCAAGGATTCAAGCTGCGTGTCGAGTCTGTGACTTTGAAGAAAAGTACGACAAAAACGGTCGATTAATTTTATCATAATGTATCCTCTCTAACAAGGCGAGTTGCGTCCAGCGATGAATGATACTATATAGTGTTGACGCAATTTAACTTCTTTCTATTTTTGTTTCTCTCTTCTCTTTTTTTTATATGCTCGCGTATTTCCGAATCCACACTTAGGCGCGTTATAGAGATTTTTCGATTTAAGTTTTTTCGTGAAAAGGGAGATGATAAGCGGCGTGGGTAACAACGCGATAGATAGTAGAGAACAAGAACACACGAAGTGATTTCGATTTTGGCGGAGATTGCGCATCACTGGTAACTACATTGCGAGAGAGACACACACACAGACACTGTAACACACTTCGGCGAGTAAGCATCGAGATCACATGTCGGAAATGCATAATTGACTAATAGTAACGTGTAATTTCGACGATATAGAAATGCCTTTTCTACGCGCTCGCTGGTGCGCGCACGCAGTAAGCTATCACCAATGCGGCAATGTCGATTATTCCGTATCGATAATGGCGTTCGTCGTGTAAATGAAAATACGTAAACTCCCGCAGTCGTTGGATCGCGTTAATGTTCGGATCTGAGCGATATCGCCGCACCAAACATTTCAAAAGAATTACAAAGAGACAAGGCAGACAAATTAGACGGACAGATCGGCGTGTCCGGTGCACACATCATCAACACATACTATTATATACCAGAAAGTGTATGATGTATTCTCTTTTTCTCCCTTACTGACAGACGCGAGAGTCAATGTATACATCTTATACAAATCCTGCCGCCACGAATAAATTGTGTACCTGCCTATTTGAGGATTACTCTATTTATTTTTCTTCTTTTTTTTTTGTTTCTTTTGCCAAAAGATCTTCAACACACGTGTATATTTGTACAGAAGTGTTAATTGATAAGCGAGCGCCGTTGTAAAATGTGTATAATAGGTAAAATAAACGAGTCTGTAAACAATTGTAAATAATACGTTGTAAAGTATTGTGTGCGTATGTATATTCTCGCATATTTTATCATTATTTTCTCTTCCCCACCCCCAATTCTCCCCACGACTGTATACAGAAAGATTGCATGTGTAAATATTAAATAAATTTGATATGGCAATCATACACCAGTTTGTAATCTTAACACCTATCCGGATGTACTTCTTGTTCATAGCGTATGAAATGTTCTCTAAATAAGAAACAACGCACTTTTCGAGTAACGCATCGTGTGCGTAAGATTCTTTATTTACACACACGTACACATCAACTAATCGTTGTTTGAAAAGCTCATAGTTTGATTTTATTTATCACAGGAATTACACCGTTAAAATTAAAAACTGCTCCAACTTCGACGGCGAATAATTTGAGTACACAACGGCCGCTCGTAATTTATAACGCATTTATCGCTCGTCACTTTTCATTCCTAATTCGGATTATTTGAAACTTCATAAAAACATAAATCCGAAGTGACTACGTAGCGATATTATTTATCGTCTGTAAAGGACAACGTTAAATACAAAAGAAAAAACGTAACTGTTTTAACAGACATTTTAACTTTAACTTAGACATCATTCTTGTTGGAAATGATGATTCTGTCAGAGAACCATTTTTCCTCGAAAGAACCTGTGTAACGCGCGTAAAAGGCAATTGTTTTGAACCCTATAATTATTCAACTGTATAAACAATAAGCAATGTGTATAAATCGCATGTCAGTATCTTTTGCGTGACATCTACGGAATTCTAAGCTTATGTATGTCGTACATACAAATTGCGATTGAGTGTGTATACGACATTCGATATTTTACATTATTTGTGGTATTTTTAGCATATTTTGTACAAGAATATTACAGGAAATTTCGATTCTTCATGGCAATTATCAAGTATTCGTCAACCTTGATTTAACCCAGGTCCATGCAACTCTATAAAGCTTTCCAGGCAACGCGGCACGTTACCGGTATAAGACAGGTTGTAAGCCTTCACAGCTTTAGCTGCCATACACATTAGAGACAATTTAGTTTGTGATCTCAATATTATTTCAGCTACGCCTGTAACACAAGTAGAATATTAGCCAGATAATTTGCGAATTCCGACATCGATGAGCTTCAGCATGATATTTGAATCTTTAATATTCGGTTGTAAATTTACCTGTGGTAACTGCATCGTACGGTGTGTGTCCTCTGTTATTTACAGTGTCCATATGCGCTCCAGCTTCTATAAGCTCCATTATAATTGAATGTAAAGTCGAGAAGTCGCTGAAAAATTTAGAAAATTATATTGAAATCTATATATGAAGTGTTAGAGGATTTAAGAAATGAAAGAATGAATTTAGGAAAGAAATAATTAAAAGGGAAAGAGATCTACAAAGGCAATGCAAAGAAGGCAGAATTGAAAACGCGAAATATAATAAAGATATAAGGAAATAAAAATCAATGAAAGAAGACCAAATTATTTTATGAAGAAAAATTTAGACAAGATTAAAAGATGAGGTGAGAGTCTTGGTTAAATTGAGGTGTGTGGCAATATGGAAGACATAAATAAATATTGGCTGGAAGAGGATAATAAGATATGTGTTTTTTCTGGGATAAGTCAGGATTCTACAAGACACTATATAGAGATATGTCAGCACACTAAAGACTGTTTTAAGGATTTAGGTATGGGTAGAGAAAAAAAATGTGAAAGAATGTGTGGGATGAGGAATTGGATGAGATCAAAGAAAATATAGTGAAAAAACTATGGAGGGAAAGAGAGAAGAGGTTGAAATAGATCAAAGAGAACAGGATAAATAAAAGATAGGCATGGTTGAATGAGATAAGCTTATATAAGATTAAGATCATTACTGTGAGTTTGAATAGAGTTAATTTAGGTATGTATAGATATAAGAATAAGTAGGTAGAGGAACGATTGGTAAGAAGAAATAGAGAGAGAGAGAGATATATATATAAAAGTATACGTAAAAATATAAGATATAACTTTTGTAGATTGTATAAAACGAAATAAGAATAGGACATACTATAATATATTGTGATTTAATAGGACAAGAAGTTTCGTTTTCTTTCTTCTTTTCACATAGGTCTTAGAATAAAAGGAATGGATGAATGAATGTGGTTAAGATATGATTGTAAACCAAGCCCCTTCTTGACAATGTAGCTGAAGTAAAATAAATATATATATTGAAATCTATATATATGTGTATAACTTTGTAAAAATACTATATCAACTCATTATAAAATACCTGATTGATTTACTGTAACCAACAATAATGTGTAGCGGCGTGTTTCTCTCATTGTCCATCGCGTTTACGTCGGCGCCACAACGAATTAATAATTTTGCCGTAGCCGCACATGGAAACCTAGAAATCAAACATGCAATTTGATTGAATAAAGTCTCAATATTAGAAATTAACTTTTCAATGCTATTCTCTCTTTCTTTCTCGACGTACTTGCAAACATCGTTAGTGTGAAAATCGTCAACGGGAGTTTCAGCATTCACAGCGAGATGTAATAGTGTCTGTCCGTCTTTCAAACACACCCGTAGCGCGCACAATTTATGCACTAAATGATGTGCTTTAGTCAAATCCGATTCGTCACATCTGCTTCCATTTAGCGTCATGAGTTTCGTCAAAACCGTTAAGATATATAGAGTCGTTGTAATATTCGACTCCATCTCTTCCTATGCAGATATTATTTCTAAATATGTAGAAATAGGTTTCTATGTGTGTCACATAATGAAAAAACGCACGATAGAGTATACGTTTGAAGTGGATAAAAATGTTTTTTACTGAACTTACAACATACTGGTCAATGTCATCCTTCATGTCTGGATTTTGTATCTTGGCTTTATTTTTGCTCAATTCAGTTATGCTTGCCTCCAGTACATTTAGCACTTGAGAAAAATCTAGATCGACACCTACGTGTATCATTTGTGAGAAGACTTGCGCGAATCGAAGGAGATCCGTTACAACGGTTATATTATTAAGCTGCCTTAATTTCAAGGCATGCAGCCACAAGTCTATGCATCTGTCGAATCTAGCGTTATCCGCGAATATAGCGCCTCTGAATACTATAGGATGTGTCAGTTCTGGATTGTGAAGGCCTGAAATAAGAAAATATTGAAAACGCATTACACACACACAAATAATATTATTTTAGCAAACGTGTGTATATCTACCTAATATTCTCTCCCGAATAGCAAGCGACTCCATGTGTATAGCATTAGGATTGTATTCAATACTTTCTAATCGTTCTAGCGTTTCGCATTCCTTCCAGTTATCATATGCTTTCACAGTTGAACCTAGTTGCTTATATACAATATTATTAGTATCGTTATACCTGGGACATAAGAAAAAATAACACAGATGTAACAAAAACTAGGTATCACAATTCGATAAAATAAAGGAATGCAGACAGTGATCAGCCTTTCCCTTACCTTAATTCCATTGCTTTGTACAGGTACTTATACGCCTTAGTTAGGCAATAACTATCCTTATCGTTAGCGTAAGATGCTCCGAGTAGCTCGTAAGCGTCTATTATCTCTTCTTTTGTCACTTCTTTCCTTTTCACCAAACACTCAACGACTTCTGCGCGCGTACGTTCAGCAGCCGCTATTAAAGGCGTCATGCCGCTCACATTTTTTGTCATTTTCGTATTGAACTTCAGCAATTCGTGAACAATCGTGGTGTGTCCACACTCGGCGGCAAAGTGTAACGCTGTTGCTCCACAATGCGCTTTCTGATTAGGATCCGCTCCTTTATCCAATAGGAAATTGACCTGAGACAAGATATAGAAGTTTTAGATAATAAAGATAAAGAAATATAAATAGACATAGAACGATAAGGTATATATATATATATATATATATATATATATATATATATATAATATATATATATATATATATATATATATATATATATATATATAACATCGCGAATTATATACAGTAATACATTTTCAAAGTATTCTTACAACATCAAGATGTCCTTTATATGCTGCAATCATGAGGCAGGTATTATTAAACTTATTAGAAATATTTATGTCTGCTTGGTGATCAGTCAAATATTTAACAATATCCAGACGACCGTCGAAACATGCTGCTCGGAGTGGAGTAGAATTAGTTTTTGTCGGATGATTCACATTTGCTCCTGCTTTCACAAGGGTCTTAACAACATTTAAATGTCCTGCTCCTGTAATCAACTTGTATCATAGACACGACAGAATTTATTATTGAAGCTTCATTTTCTATATTATTTTGTAATTGTACCTGCTGCAGCCCAGAGTGCACTAGCTCCTTCAATAACATATCCGTCAAACTTTACTGTTCCTTCTTGTTCTAAGTCAGGCTTAAATTTGTCTAATAGCATTCTAACTACCTTATCATGTCCATAACGTGCAGCAATTATTAAAGCTGTACACCTCTGTCCATCATCTTCTAAAATTTTCTGTAAATATAATTGTAAATATTTTGTTTCACATAAACTTCTACTATCTTAATTATATATTATAGCACAAATTGATTATATACTAAAGATACCCAGACTTTTATAGTTTACAAAAGTCTGATAATACCTATAATCAAATAAAATATTTCTTACTATAACAAAAACTTGGAACTATAAAATGTTTCATTACAAAAATAATTCTCTTTTTCTTTATTCATATATACATATATGTATATATATATATATATATATATATATATATACTATATCATTTATCTAAGCATGTTGCAAGTTGTCCTGAATAATTCTTTTTAGATGTGCTACAAACTCATGTAGGTTTTAGTGTCACTTATGTAATGACAATTTCTACAGATTTGTTATTAAAATAATTAATTCCTGAAATTATATATATAGATCTAATAATAATCTCAATTTATTATCAAATACAATCCCAAAATTATAGTGAAAGGTAAGACTCAATTAGAAATAAAGCTAGAAGTTGTGTACGCACAAGACAAAGAATATTTATGCATACAGTAAAATTTCCTATTCTTAATAGTTCTTTGTAGTTTTTTCTACATCAAAATAGATTTTGTCATATACTAATAGTATTAATAACTACTTATCATTTAACTGCATAAAATGTTCATCACATTGAGAATAGAATCACAGAATAACGCAATAGCTAATATTTATACCTGTGACTATAATCAACTGATATTTATATGAGAGATATGACGCAACGAGTGGGATTTACCTGGTTAATCAGATAATTGACGTCGGCATTCGATCTATCGTTGAGCAATGTATAAAGAGCGATCGCCATTCCGTCCCTTGCCGAATAATAAATTCGCTTGGCCAATGAATGTTGTAATTCGTCGATTATCTCGTTCGCGGTATCCATCGTCGCGTGCTCTTCGTCGCAGAACGTCCCGACAATAACCGAACAATATTAGCCAAAAACACCCAGGAACGTGGTAACCTCAAAACTCATGTTCTCCGCTGTTCGCGAGCGTAAGGAAAATACATCGCACGCCGCCGCCACACTCTATTTTAAGAGCGTTGCACGCGAAAATATATCAATTCCGGTGTAAAAATAACCGGAACAAAGCGTTTTTGCGCCGCGTACTCCTTTGTTGTCCCGACATCAATGTCAAGTGCTAAACGTGCCTCTCAAAAACGCAAAAAATCTTATTTACAATCGTCTGTCGCTTAATCGAGGAATAAACGCCTGCCCTCGAGCAGCTGATCATTCATTGCGTTCTATCTAACGCCAGTCTCTGTTGTTTATATTTGAAATAACGAACTCATTTCTCGTCTCGAGTAGGATACATATCAACGCATCATATGCGATAAATCGTAGTGTCGCAGTGACAAGTATTTCGCGGACTGCGTTGATTGGTATTTCGCAGTTCGCCCAACACGACCGACTTACAAACACACCAATAATATCGCGTCGTAGGGATGCGCTGTGCGGTTTTGCTGACGAAATCCGCGCGACAAATTAAAATGTTCGTGAGTCGCGCATTCTACATTCCGTTCTAGGAAGAAAGAAATATCTCTTGGCGATACACATCATGCACATATATATACATACACACACATATATATATATATAGCAGATAAATTCGTAGAATAATTTGAAATACACGTATGCAAAGCCAGCCAAATACACATCACGTCTGAAGTTAGACGCTACCGTGACTCAGATCGTCATGACGCGGCGGTGATTCGACAACTGAGTATCTCGCGCAAAAATTAAAAGGAATGCAGAATTTCAGACTCGAAAGTATATTTGGCATCGAATATGCTGCGTCTTGTTTTTGCTCATTGTAATTACGAATATATGTACACGAATATATGAATATAAATGTACACAAAGATCAAAGATATAGCTTCACAAAAATATATTTTTCTTAGAATCATCAATGAAAATATATAGCGTTACATTAGTGATACGTACATAATTTCTCTATTCATGTTAAGATAATACTATCAAACAGGTCACTTGAAGTTTTTAATATTAACGACAGTTTAGTCATTTTGCCGTGGATTGCTACGCGTATTTTTTATTTAATACTAGTAAATAAAATTAAAATTATTTACATTGTCACATTTCATCTCTTGTGACAAATGAGATTGGACGTGAAATATATGGTAAATTTTGTTATGAGGAATTGTGTTGTAAAATTTCTATAACGCGTAATGTTAGAATCACGCGATATCTAATTATAAATTATAAATAAATATTTTTACACATACTTGGTAATTTTTCCTACTGTTACACTACTGTATAAAAACAACCTTAAGAGGAGATCACACAAGTAATGTAAATAATATTATATACGTAATATAATATCATACTACTTCTTTTCTGAGAAAATACGTTTTCTTAGAACTTGCTCTATCTTTTGTTCAAAAAGACGCATAGTCTCATCGATGATCTGTTCAAACTTTGACATCACATCATGTATACTTGCATCAATCTTGACTTCAGGATTGGAGGTTTTACGATCTTTGGGAAAGTACATATTCGAGGCCTGCCGTAGTTTCTCTCGTGCATTAGACCTACACAAATAATATTGTATGATTATTTTTATCAGTAAATAGATTTAATATGCAATATTTATTCTTTAATTCTCATATAAAACTGATACCTTTCAAACAGCCAATTCGCATTCTTCGTTTGATGATAGTCTTGTTCTGTTGGGTCATTCTTAAATGAACGTCTATAACGGTCTTTATCGGACTTTGGTACGTGGTTTTTCATTTTAATTTGGGGCGATATATTCTTTTTAATTGGTTCATCAGAATTAAAATCTTTTTTGGTAGAACCATCTGACTTGAAATGGTTATTTGGCTTTGGTCCATTCACTTTGGTTTTATCTGCAGTCAATTTTCTATACTCTGATGTAGCTTCTGTGTTTTGTTTACTAATAGTCTCATCAAAACTATTGTTCAATATTTCATCTATACATTGATCTGTTTTAGTAGTTTGTGAATAATCATTTATTACTTTATCGCGACATGTTTCAGTATCAATTGTCTGAATATTCTTTCTCTCAAATTTTGTGTACAACATTGAATCATCAGTTTTTTTGGTCTGCTTCTTTACATCAATTGGCCTTGTATTTTCTTTTCTGCTTGTCTCTCTCTTTTTTTTACCATTGAACTTTATCGATGTATTTTTCGAGTGACAATAGTTGTAATAATTACTCAAAGACTGACTCTTCATAGTTAACCGTTTTAAGAATTCGTTATCATCAGGTAGCATATTTTTCAAGTGGCATAGTTTCTCATTTAATTTGTATTTCATTTTACTATACTTGTCATGTACATTTAACATTATGTTGTTTATTTTTCTTACTAGATCAGTGAAAAGCAAACGGGAAGTATGATGTATCTTATCAATGGCGTTTTGTAAAAACCTGATATATAACATAATTTTAATATGCAATAATTCATAATAAGAATGAGAAATTGTATGTCTTGTTAGATTTATACTTACTGTGCAGTAACAGGAACGTTCATATTTTGAGTATTATCATTAAATGATAAGAAAGTTTCATATAATATTTTTGTAGTGTTTACGATATCTAACGTCTTATTCATTTAATTTTTTAACAGATTACTGTTATTATAGATATTATTACTCAATAATGATAATACATTTAGAGATACTTGAAGATTATTCAATATATATGGATCATTATTAAAAGATTCCTCAGTAGATTTATATTTTTTATTAAAATAATTAATACTTTCCATAAGCTTCCCGCTTTCTAGAGGCTGCCAAGCATGATCTTTATTAAGTTTATTCTCAATTAGGATGTGGTCTTTAATTTTATTTAATGTTGTATTTACTAAAAATAAAAAATTTAATTGAGTCATACAAATTACAAAATATATAAGATATGTTAACAAAGTTCTAAAACTTTTAACTTACTTTCCTTGAAGATATTATTAATATTTTGACATTCAATTTGAAAATCTTTAATACCATTTCTATAGAGATTCATATCATCAGTAGCCAAAAAGTGGCCAAAAAGAATACCAATTATACATCCAAGTAGTATACAAGTAATCATGTTTAATATCTATATTCACATAAAAATATTTTAAATATAATATTCTATTTTTGTGAAAATACTAAACCAGCAATAATTTATAAAGCAGCAGGAACATAATCTCAAAATAATAATATATATGTACCTTCGTATTGTGTTCAAATTCATAATTTTGAAGAATGATTTCATCAACCACATCCTTTGATTTATACATATCGTGATCTAACAAAGTTAATTAAAAATTTTTATTAAAAATATCTATATCACTCTTTGTTATATCATTTTGTATATGATACTAACGATTGATTTTATTAACCATATCCTTAGATCCACATACATATATTTTGTTGTCTCGAGCAGTTGTAAAAAAATTTTGACAAGAATTATCTGTGTCACTTTCTGTTATGACAGATACATCATTGGATGTGTTGTCTGACTCTATATGTTCATGAATTATTTCAATGCCATTATTTGATATTTGTATATTTGGGTCTATCTGGTCTAAATCCTTTAAACATTAAAATATTTTAATATTCTGTTCATTTATTTCCTATATTGTTAATTCAACATTAATTATTAAGTTAATTAACATTCATGTATGTTTGGTATTAAAATTCTAAATATGCTATTTTGTGTCATATCAGATTGCACAATTCACCTCTTTAACTTCTGGTAACTGAGCAGTTTCAGTATCTTTGAATATTTGAGTAATTTTGTTTATTAGGACCCAAGAATTTTCATTTGTGTTTTCGCTTAATTCGTCTATATTTACGTTGTCCATTGTTTATCCTATGAAACACCTCCGACAATTCCTCTCGTCAAATATAATCAAATATAACCTCACTCGTGGAAAAGAATCGCGAAATTTATAGCTTGATAGTAGATTTGTTCGCGTTTGTTCGCATTGCTTGTACTTTTGACATTTTTATACTTAATGCCTAAGTACCTAATCTAAATGCAATGAGCGATATCCAATCGACGCGTTTAATGGCTTGGTTTACATCGTGCACTTGATGCGTACTAAATAGTAACTTTCTATTAGATAATTAGTAACTATCTATTAGATAATCTTAATATCGATGATATATATAAACAACGGTATATTAAGCTGGTATAATACTCATCAACAAAACGCATTGTATTGATAGAATGCGTCGCTGTTGATATGCATTGTCGATATTAAGATTATCTAATAGATAGTTACTAATTATCTAATAGAAAGTTATTATGTTTAGATGAACTAAAGTGCACGATGTAAACCAGGCCAATGAGCGATTATTGATTCTTACTGTTAGATCCTTAAATCTAGACCAATTACATTGACGAATTGCTCAACTGTGTGAACTGTTGAATTTGCTGAATGCAGCCATTGGCTGAACCATGGACATAGTATGCATAGACTCTGAATGCCCTATGTTCTGTCGTCTAATAGAATGAAGTCAATATCTAAAAAGAGAGCGAGAATAGAAGGGCTATAATTTTCTTTCTATTTTGTCACTTTTTAGTCGCGTGTGCATTCATTTCTCGTTTCCATAATATTAGAGCGCAACAGCACCCAGGGTGCAAACCCAGAAAACTGACCAATCAGAGTTGATTATTCTCCTTGTGTCCGAGGAATAATTGACTGTGATTGGTCAGTTTTTTTACGACTACGATTAAAATTTTTTACGGTTACGATTAAAATTTTTCTACGTGCAAAGGCCGTAACTTATTGCTTTACAAATGGCGCCCAACCACAAGAAGTTATTCTTTTCAGTGGATTTCTTCTCAATTGGGGGACACGAATCAGGGCAGCAATCACGTAACTTCGAGCGGAACTTTTCACTTTTCATTTTTCGCTCTATCGATTTCACATGAACTTTTTCATTATTCACGCAATCAAGTAACTCTATGCACAAATCACTAAACATAGTTTCTATATGATTTCAATATCGGCCAAATCAGCTGTATCCATCGGCTGCAGAACTTTAAAAACATCGCTGTAACCTTACGACTGTTATGTTTCCTATATCTCATCACAGCAATAACATAATATATTCCGTATTCATCATGTCACTAGATTTTCACTTTTCCGCCATCAAGACTGCGCTCGGAAACGTCACTCGAGTATTCTCCCTCTCTTTTTATCTCACTCTTGTATTTCGCTCACTCAACAGCTATCGTCTAATAGTGTGCACACAGTATGCGTTTCCGAACGCAGCACAAGTTTGATGACGAAAAAATTCACGTGAAAAGTTTCACGTTTCCACGTTTCGCCGAGTTACGTGATCACGAGTTCACGTGAAACTTTTCACTTTTCACTTTCCATCCTACGGGAAAAGTTATATGATTGCTGGACTGCATCCATTTTTCAGGTAGAACTACGTTCCCTACGCCCATTTTCA